CGATAGCAGCATTATCAATCCATTCCCCAATGTTGACACCCACATGCAAGATATTCTTGCACACCTTCCATAGGAAGATACAAACCTTAGGTTGAATCTGTAGTTTCCACAAGATGTTCCAAAACTCAGAATCCTCTGAATTCCTGTTATGGGTTCGGTTCAATGTGTGATGTTGTTCACCCCGAATGTAGTGGTATGATAATGTTACGGAGTAAGCCCCGTTTTCAATAGCTTTCCAAACTCTAGAGTCCTCTCTAGGGGGAACAAACATGAACGATAGAGATGAGAACCAGGTCGTTACTAGAAAAGAGCATCTTCGGTTTATTTTCATCCCAACCACCATTAACCTCATCGAATAGGGCACTAACCTTTGTCTCAGATGTATCTCCATGTGGGGGAGGATTAGCCTAATAGGAAAAAAAATCCGGGATCCAAGCATCCTTCCATATGTCGATAGAGTTCCCATTCCCAACTCTCCACCTGAAACCTTCTTCAATCCTGTCCTTTGCTCCCATAATACTCTTCTAGATGTAGCTTGGTTGGTATTCAAGCTTAGTTTCAAGAATATAGGTCTTGGGGAAATATCTAACTTTTAGTACTCTAGCCATCAACGATTTTGGTTTGGTTAGCACATTCCATATTTGTTTTCCCATTATTGCATAGTTAAAAGCCTTGAGATCTCTGAATTCAATTCCTCCATCTTCCTTTTCGTCACACAACTCATCCCATTCTCTTAAGGGATAGGATAGAATAACAACACCCTATATGTTGTTACCGTAACAACATAATTCATTAAGGGCAAAATTGGAAATTTACAATAAAAATAAAAATTAGCCCTTATGTATGTGCTTTTCCTTCCGCTCTATTCTCTCTGGCGCAGCGAGTCCCAAACGGACGCCGCAATCGGCAATGCGCTACTGGATCTCCACGACGGTCGCGAGAGGGTTCATGGTGGTGACGACGGCGCCGGCGTATAGGACGGCGAGGAAGACGACGGGGAAGCAAATTGAATTGGGGAGGACGAGCAAGACGACAACGCCGTGGCGGATGCCCAATTTGTGGAGAGCTGAGGCCGTGGATTTGACGAGGGGGAAGAGGTCTTGGTAAGAGATTGAGTAGCCGGAAGCGGAATCGAGAAGGGCGACTGCAGACGGTAGGAAATCCGAGCGCCACCGACTTGCAATATTTTGCCCATCAAATGAATCCCATCTCCTGATCCTTCGATTCTCACTCCTTCATCCGTCTCGTCGCCGACTTACTTGGCCTTCAAATCATGAGACCCAAATCAGGGGGAAAGAGACAGAGACTGAGCCACTATAATCTGTTGTGCGATGAACAATAGAATTGATAACATGAAAATCACGAGAAGAAGAAAATTGGGTACCAAAAAGCTTGTTTTCCCAATCTGGCTATCACCCAAGAGCCAAGAGGTTAATCTTTAAGGTCACCAAATCCGAATCGACCCGGTGGACGTTGTTGTTGTAGTTGTGAAGAATCGCCGCCGCGGAAGGCGGGGGACAATTGACGAGGGCCACCTCCTCCATTACGCCGCCACCAGCAGAGGAAATAGGCAAGGAGACGGAGGGAACAACGGCGGGATGTGACAACATTCGGTACCTAATCCGCATTCCGATGGAGCACATGAGAATTTGGTTCCACACCCGGAGAATGCAGTGGCGGAGAACGGACAACCGGCGGTGGATTTTACGGCTAAGGTTGGACTTGGATCAACCCATTACCGGATGATGGAGATTTCTCAGGGGGCTAAAAATGATGAGGATTGCCCAAGATTCTTCTCATCATGGAAAATCAGAAACGATGGCCTAGATAGAGAGAGAGAGAGAGAGAGAGAGAGAGAGAGAGAGAGCTATGTGTGTAATTAGATTAAGCCATGGGTAGGTGTCAAGTGAAACTCTATATCAGAAATTCTATATTGGTGTTTAGTAATTCTAATAACAAATATTTTTAACACCAAAAACTCCCTACCTAGTGCAAACCACAAACGCAATAAAACAACCCACAAAAAACATACTGGAAACTTCCTAATGCAAACCACAAGTTCGCTAAAAAATATCATAAACCCCACAAACCAAACCATAAATATTTTGAAAAGCACACCAGAAACCCCCTAATGCAAACCACAAACATGGTAAAGCAAACCAAAAACGTCCTAATGCAGACCACAAATATATTAAAACAAACCATAAATCTCGCAAAGCAAACCACAAAAGTTTCGAAAGCACACCAGAAACTTCTTAATGCAAACCAGAAACCTCCTAATGCATACCACAAATCTCATAAAACAAACCACAAACCTCACAAAGCAAACCACAATATTTGCAAAAGCACACCAGAAATCTCATAATGCAAACCACAAACACGATAAAGCAAACCACAAAAACAAACTAGAAACGTCCTAATGCATACCAAAATTCTACTAAAACAAACCAGAAACCCCGCAAAAGCAAACCACAAAATTTTAAAAAACACACCAGAAACCTCCTAATGCAAACCACAAACACAGTAAATCAAACCACAAAAACAAACCAGAAACGTCCTAATGCAGACCACAAATATATTAAAACAAACCATAAATCCCGCAAAGCAAACCACAAATTTTTTGAAAGCAAACCAGAAACTTCTCGATGCAAACCACAAACACGATAAAGCAAACCAGAAACTTCTTAATGCAAACCACAAACACGATAAAGCAAACCACAAAAGGCATACAAAAATATGAGAAACCAAACCATAAATCTCACAATGCAGACCATACATCCGGTGGTCGTTGACCGCTGACCGGTCAACGAAGACCGTTGACCGGTCAACGAAGTTCGTTGACCGAACTCCGGTGACCGTCAGCCAGCAGATTCCGACGCCGATAGGCATATTCTGGCCCCGATGACTAGATTCCGACGCCGGTAAGCATATTCCGACACCGGTAAGCATATTCCGGCGAGAAATAGCATATTCCGGCGACAAAAAGCATATTCCGGTGACCGATGACCAGTTTCCGGCGACCGGTGGCAGAATTCCGGCGACCAAATTTTTGGGAAGAAAATAAAAAAATATTTATTTTTTATTTTTTTATTATTTAAATTGATTTTTCATAATGACAATTATACCCCTGCTTTGATTTTACACTAGGTCAACTCATCTAATAAAAAATCATCACAATCCTAGCTTCCTATTGGTTGGAGACTAGTGTTGTTACCGTAACTGGTCCCTTTCAACACGGGCGCAAGCTATCTTCTCTCCCATACCCCCACATAGGCCTGTCGGTTCGGTTTCGGGTTTTCGGATTAACCCGAACCCGAACCGATATGCACAGTGTTGGTTTTGGTTTTTTGGGTTCAACCCAAAACACACTGCAGCGGTTTCGGTTTACCAAAACCCGCAAAACCGGAAATACCCGCAAACCCGGAAACACTGCATCAGTCACGCTGTCGTTTTGACAAGAAACATCCCTACCCTAGCGGCCTTCACTTCGTGTTCGTGCCGTCTCTTCGATTTTGGTCTTGGAAAACCTAAACGAAACAGAGCGCTGGCCGCTGAGCGAGACGAAACAGCCTCCTGCCCTCCTCGCCGCCATCATCGTCCTCGCCGCCAGAGGCCTCGTGAGGACCTCCGACTGCCATCAAATCTGTCGTCGGCCGCCACCATCAACTTCCTTGCACTATGTTGGAGGGTTCCGGCCTTTGACAGGGAGGAATCCGCTTCACCACCATCAACAGAGCCTCCTCCCCGCCATCATCGTCGCTCGGCCGCATCTGGGTAACGCAAAGATTCAGTGTTCCTCGTCGCTAATCCACCCATCGACGACGAAGAGCCAGAAGCAGACGACAGGGTGCAGAAGTGGAGATTGGCGATGGAATCCCAGTAAGCTCCTTTTACCTTTGCTGAATTTTGATTTGATTGGCATCCACTTGCTGTAGGGGTTCTGATTTCTTCTCTACTTGGCTCGTCTAAGTAGGGCAGGTGAGTGTTTGCTGTTGCTATAGGGGTTCTGATTTCTTCTCTGGGTTTTCGCTGTGTTTGTGCTTAGTTGTGAATTGTGATCTTGAATGTGGGTTGCTGTTGAGAGATGGAATGGCGTAACAGGGCAACAATGGCGAATTTAATCTCCCACTTCCACATCTTCTCCACTGAATAAAATCCCAACCCTTTTGCCTCTTCCCCTGCCTCCTTCGCCATTGCTAGAGACTGGTCTAAAATAGAGGGTTAATATTTGAAGTGTTTCTTCTTGAGCTGGGAATCTTATTATTATATGGTGATTAACAAAATAATGGCACCAAGGAAACCGCGTAAGGACAGCCAGCTAGAAACAATACACAATGCCATACCCCCATGTTATGGGGATGCCATTCCAGCCCCAAATCAGAACATATTTATATTTTCTGAAACTACTAATAACTCGTAATATTCCAAAATCCAATTACCTGCTAAACAAACACCTATTCACCAAGTTCCAATGTGAAGTGTGTTGTATGATTGTCTTCTTCTGCATTCTCGGAATGTCACATCACCCTAACACTAACAATGATCATGGAACTAACCATTTAAACAATTTGGAAATTTGGGCTCTGGTGTGTATGTGAGATAGTAATTTTTCATGGCCGATGGTGAATGAAGATGATTATGTTTATTGTTGATGGTTTGATGGATGGATGTAATGATTTTATACCACTACTTGTGTATGTGAGATAGTAATCTTCTCATTAAGTTTCCAGGTGGCTGTTCTGTCAAACAGGACACTACTTGTGTTGAGAATGATTTTATACCACTACTTGTGTTCTTATTATTGTTCTCAGTAGCAGGCTTAATCTAATTATATTATTAGATGATGTTACAGACAACAAACCATTGGTTTGGGCAGAATTGGGAAATGTGGCAGGTCGAGGGTGTTAAAAGACATAAAATAATGCATTGGCTACTAGCTATGAGAATATTTTTATATATGCCAGTATTTAGGATGAAATTACTCGAATGAAACAGTGTGGGATATTCTTGCTGTTCCTATTTCCATTGTTGCTTCTGAGTCGGCATTCAGCACAGGAGGTCGAGTTTTAGATTCGTTTAGGACCTCCTTATCCCCTGAAGTTGTGGAGGCGTTGATTTGTTGTGAAGATTGGATAAGATCTTCAGACTCCGAGTTGGTGGCTGATGGAGAAGATGAGGGTGATGAAGTGGTATTTCAAAATGGTAAGGTTTTAATATTTCTCTTTATTCTTATATTTGTTATCTTGATCAAGTCATATTCTAACAATTTGTTATTGTTTATGTTATCCAGTATATGTAGCTTTTCAAGCTCGGAGTGCAAGTGCACCTGCAGGACCTAGTGGAAGCTCTCGTGCAGGACCCAGTGGAAGCTCTCTTGCTACCCATGTTTTGGTCTCGAGTCCTACTATGTCACAAGTGGAAGAAGACTATGTCGACAACAATTCCGATGAGAATGATGAGACTTTTGTAGATGTAGAGCCTGATGAGGAGTGATAATGGTAGTAGTATTTATCTTGTATGGTGGATGAATTTTTATTTTACTTGGATGTTATCATTTGAGAATTGTAAAACTAATGTGTTTAATTACGAGTTGAAGATAATCTCATCTATGATTGTCGTATTTTATGTTGAACAAAATTATTTATAATTTTGCGCCAAACACCAAACATTTTTTTGCATATGATAGTTGATATACCTTCAATTTTGGACCTATGGTATTACTAAAACATTTAATTATACGAAAATCCACAATTAAATAAGATATGATTAAGTTACGTATAAAATATGTTTAAGTATTTTACTTTGTCTCTAAAATACTAATACTCTTTAATAGTTAATAGTATGTCTATAGTTATAGAATACATAAAATTAAATATTTCAATAATTAACTAATATTTTAATAATAAACTAATATGTAAATATTAGTTTTATACTGTCCATGTCCCATAAAATTAAACATAATGGTAAAATAAGAATGTACAAATAATAAGAATAAAATTGTTTTGTACAATGTAAAATTCAAATCACAAAACTATAAAAAAAAAACAAATCTCAAGCCGGTTCGGTTTCGGTTTCACCCGAACCGAACCAAACCCGCCAACACCAATTTCGGGTTCCAGTACCCGAAACCCACAGGAGAGCATTTCGGGTTCGGTTTTCACGGGTTTCGGGTTCGGTTACCCGACCCGAACCGACAGCCCTACCCCCACAGCCAATCACAATTTCACAGCCCCGCAATCCCCCGCGCTCTCATCTTACCTCCTGCCACGTGTCCTCCCCACCTCCACCGATCATTTATAATAATAATAATAATAAATCTCTGGCTATCCCTCACTCTACAGTCTACACTCTCTCCGTGCTTTCTCCTTTCTTCTTTCTTCTGTGTTCGCTTAGTCGTCTGTCTTCTTCCTTCGTTCTTTCTCCGCCGCGAAAAATCCTGCGGGGCTCTCCGCAGGCCATGCGAATTAGGGTTTTGTAGAATTGATCGATTTCCGGCTGGAACAGGAGGCGGACACTTCTCTGTTTTACGATGGCCACTCCGACGACTGCCGCTGCTTCTTGTTCTTCGTCGTTTCTATCTCCGAGTACTGTCTCCAAGCGCCGTGTTTCACTCTCCGGACGCAGTTGCGGTCTCAATTTGTGTTCTAGACGGAGTGTTCAGCTCAGCTACAGCTACCGGTCTCTCCGGCTCCGGACTCGAGTTCGAGCTGGCAAGGAAGAGAGTGCCGGCGCGGTGATCGAGGAGAGGGAGCTGTTGAGGAAATTGAACGGGAATGGAGCTGCTTGTGGTAGTGCAGGAAAGTACGGGAGTAACGGATCGCTTAGTAATGGAAGTTTGGTTGCGGTGGAGAGCGAGGTCAATGGTGGGAGTAACGGTCGATTGAACAAGTACGTGAATGGGAATGGTGGTGTTTCCGCGGCGGAGACGGCGGAGGATGGGAGGAAGAAGCGGATTGAGGAGGTTGGGAAGGAAGATGCGTGGTTTAAGCGCTCTGGTCCGGGGGAGGTTGAGGTAAACGAAATTGAATTTTCGGGTTCGGTTGAGTTGGGTTGTCACTTACTTGGAAATGGCGATTGAGCTACCTGTGTAGTCGGGGAAATGTTGAAATAGGAGCTAGTGGAGACCACGTTTTAGCCGTTTATGATGACAGTGTATTGCCTCTGCAGGTTTCTGTTGCGCCCGGGGGAAGATGGAATAGGTTCAAAACCTATTCCACCATTCAAAGAACTGTGGAAATTTGGGGATCTGTCTTTACTTTCGTCTTCAAGGCTTGGTTGAACAGTCAGAAGTTTTCTTACAGAGGTCTGCTTCTCCTACCCATTTTCTAACAAAGCCTATTTTCCTGAACTCTATGAATAATGCATATGCTATACTACAAGGCAACATACTTGGTCCAGTGTTACTTATGATTTTGGTTAAGGCTCGAGTTTGCTTGATCTAGTTGATGCTCTCTGCTGGTCATTTTCTCATACTTTAGATTTCTTTCTGATGAGCAGGGGGGATGACAGAGGAGAAGAAAGTTGTGAGGAGGAAGGCACTGGCCAAGTGGCTAAAAGATACTATACTCAGACTTGGTCCCACATTCATCAAAATTGGCCAGCAGTTCTCCACAAGAGTGGACATTCTCGCTCAAGAATATGTTGACCAATTGTCAGAACTTCAGGTCTGTGGATTGTTGTTAGCGTTCTTTATCTGAATACTTCTTTTACTTGTAAGTGAGGGTTTTCTAACCCTCTTGACACTTTTCATTATAAACTTTTAACTGGAAGCCTTAAGTGAGACTTAAGGAAATTGCATTGGATGATAATCTTTCCTTAACGTCGTACATTCTTAGCAAAATTACTGAGTTGATGCCTTTCTGCAGGATCAAGTTCCTCCTTTCCCATCTGAGACTGCTCTTTCTATAGTCGAAGAAGAGCTTGGAGCACCTGTGGAGGATGTCTTTGAGCGGTTTGATTTCGAGCCAATAGCGGCAGCAAGTCTTGGTAATATTATATTTTCTTTCAAATTATTTTTGTCTCCAAGATAGGAAAACCAAGCCATCCCTGCGCCTGCCACTTCTTCTTATTTATTAAATGGGTGTTCAGGTCAGGTTCACCGTGCAAGACTCAAAGGACAGGAAGTAGTTATTAAAGTACAACGGCCTGGTCTCAAGGATCTTTTCGACATTGATCTCAAGAATTTGAGGGTTGGTATTTTCAGTGGTGGCACTCCATTTTGGTTGTTCTTATCAGACATCAATGAACTTGATAGCCTTCTTTTTCAGGTAATAGCAGAATATCTTCAGAAGATCGATCCAAAGTCGGATGGGGCAAAGAGAGATTGGGTTGCAATTTACGACGAGTGTGCAAGCGTACTGTATCAGGTACTGCCACTTGACTTTCTTGGCTAATCATTGTTAAAATCATCAATAACTTCCCATTTTATTTGGCTTCTACATCAACATAATGGTTGATGGCCCAAGAAAGAGCCGTACTTTCTTTTAACTGAGATTTTTTTGCACTCATTTCCATGCTTGCTGGCCTATACCAACAGCTATGTAGTTGAAATTACTAACACTCGTGCTAATGGGCATAAACAATTTCAGGAGATTGATTACACCAAGGAAGCTGAAAATTCAGAGCTCTTTGCTAGTAATTTCAAGGACATGGATTACGTAAAAGTGCCAAATATTTATTGGGAATACACCACACCTCAGGTTTCTTTCAGTAATCACAACCAACGAACAAATTCAGACCCTCTATCTCTTGATTGATACATATGGCTGCTTATTTTCTAGTATCTTCTGGATCGCAAAAGGTTTGATAATCTCAGCTTTTAACCTTGATTAGTCATTTTAATGTGATAATGCAGGAGACACATGCTTGTTCTTTAGTATGCTCTTAGGTGAAATATGTTCACAGTTCTTTTTTATTGGTTCATGCAGGTTGGGCCGGTATGCTGTTGAATCTTACTTGGAACAAATTCTTTCTCATGGATTTTTCCACGCTGATCCTGTGAGTTCATTCACATAGTGTTAAGCTCTTTAATTTGTTCCAACATGCCACCTTGGAGGATATGTCTAGCCTGGTGTACCAGTTTTGTAATTGCTATCATGTGCCCATGGTCAATTCTCTTTGCAGCACCCAGGAAATATTCCCGTAGATGATGTCAATGGCGGAAGACTGATCTTTTATGATTTCGGAATGATGGGAAGGTATTTACTTGTCAATCTGTTTCGTTATAGCTGTAAGTATTGAACTTGATTCACTTTTGTTGACATCTCAGAGTTGAACTTCTTTTGGCTATTGCTGTATTATAGTATCTGTCCAAACATCAGAGAAGGGTTGCTGGAAGTGTTTTATGGAGTTTATGAAAAGGATGCAGAAAAGGTATGTATCTCTTAAGTAATATGGAGACTCCTTGATTATAGTATGGAGTTCAAACTTTCAACTTCACACATGCTCATACCTTTTGTTATCTCTTCCTGATCATGTGTAGATTCTTGAGGTAATGGTCCAAATGGGTGTCCTTGTGCCTACGGGAGATATGACAGCTGTCAGAAGAACTGCTCAATTTTTCCTTAACAGGTGGGTTCGTTTAGTTGATAAAAATTCTTCACTTCTGCTACTTTTTTCTGGTAATATTGTTCAGCCAATTGGACGTGTGCCTAATGTGCTGATGTAGGTAGCTTCTGGTTGATTCTGTCATATAATGATTATCTACCAAATAATTCAAACTTATTCTCAGTCTATGTGGTTGGGAATAAATTTTTTACTTGCAGATAGCATATTAATTGTGTAATAGATCCTTTGTACATCTAGAAGTTTAGTTTTTAGGAAGCTGTTGCCCATTATAATTCCTGATATTATTAATTATATCCTGAAATATGTAGAGTGACTAAAATGGTGTCAAAATTATGTGGCAATCGGCTTGTGTAAGTAAGAGTATGCTTCCATTTCCAAATAATAGCAACCATACAGTTGTAACTTCTAATTAAACGTGCAGTTTCCAAGAACGTCTTGTTGCACAAAGACGGGAGAGGGAAATGGCGACAGCAGAGCTTGGGTTTAAAAAGCCTTTATCCAAGGAGGAAAAATTGGCCAAAAAGAAAGAGCGTTTGGCGGCAATAGGTAAGTTCGCATTGCACTCCGGTAGATGAATTATGTTTTCTTTGGTTAAGCTTTTGTAAGCTTGCATTGCAATCCAGTAGACGAATTACTGTTTCTTTGGTTAAGCTTTTGTTTTTTTGTCTCTACGATAGTGTGTAATCTATCGTGAATTTTATTATAATTATTCTTTGTATTTTGAATTTCAAGGAAAGGTTTTTTCACTTGCTAGTTTTTCCATTGTGATTGAGCCATGCAAGTAACGGTTATTTTCCTCCTTATTTCAGTAGACAACACTAAAGTGACTCTTTCTATAATTTCTGAACAGGGGAAGATTTATTATCCATCGCTGGAGATCAACCTTTCCGATTCCCTGCCACTTTCACATTTGTTGTAAGAGCATTTTCAGGTATAATCGTGTGGTTAATTAACTCGGTCAATAGTAGTATATGATTTTGTGCATAGCATATGTCTCTTACCGTTAACTTATTTCCTTCACAGTATTGGATGGGATTGGAAAAGGCCTCGACCCTCGTTTTGACATTACAGAAATCGCCAAACCGTGAGTCCTTTTTGGTTGGCAGTTCTCTCACTCAAACTACTTTGATTTTGAACTTCTAGAAATCTTGGTGCTTGACACATCCTTTGTTGTTAATCCTGCCAGGTATGCGCTAGAGCTGTTGAAGTTCCGGGAAGCTGGGGTTGAAGTAGCGGTGAAGGTAAAATCATTTGCTTCTGTACCCCCTCTTATGAGTCTTGCTACCCTACTAGCACTCACGTGTATGAATGTTTGCAGGATCTCAGAAACAGATGGGATAGGCAGTCCCGTGCGTTCTACAACTTGTTTAGGCAGGCCGACAGAGTTGAAAAGCTTGCAGAAACTATCCAACGATTGGTAGGAGGCTCGAATGATTCTGGACGAACGATTCAAGTTTTTAGTTTAATCATTTTGAAACAGTTTGGAGTCTTGGCACTATTTTCAGGAGCAAGGTGATTTGAAGCTTCGAGTTCGAACACTGGAAGCTGAGAGGGCTTTCCAGCGCGTTGCTGCTGTTCAAACTACAGTGGGAAGTGTGAGTCCTTTTGCCCGATGATCTACTATGATTTGGTTCTTTCCCTTATTATGGGATTTAAATGTTATTGAAAGAATCTTGTTACTTTTCATGTGAATGGTTGTGACTGATTAACCGGAGCAACCATATTTTTTGTTGCAGCTTTGGTTTCGTTAGATTATTTTTGCAACGTTCTCAGTATGTTTTGTTCTGGCAATTGAACAGGCTGTAGCTGCAGGAAGTCTTGTTAACCTTGCAACAATTTTGTATTTCAATGCTATGAGAGTAAGATGATCCACTAAAATACTTGTGCCTACTCTTTCCATCTTGCTTCTTCTGCTAATCCATTGACGACTTCCTGTGTAGGTACCAGCTACGATGGCATATGCTGTATGCACCTTTTTTAGCTTAAAAGTTCTGATAGGAATTGTAAAGGTGAAGAAGTTAGACCAACGAGAACGATTAATTACAGGCACTGCTTAAATTGGTAAGCAAGCAGCGGTCTACTCACAACTCACTGCTTAAATAGTTGAGACCTGTGTGTAGAACTGTAGATCTATTTGTTTCATTCCCATCCCTCACCGTGTTTTGCAGATGTGCGAATGTTGGAAGGATGGCCAATTTTTGAGCGTGACGATTCTGCAGTGGGGCGAACCTGCCCACCATTTTCAAGGCATGAGCCGCAGGACACTACCCCCTGTGTAAGTCTGTCTACTCACTCCCCCAATTCTGAAGCAACCCTCCTTTTCTTTCTTCTTCCCTCCCACGATTAGGAGTGCATCAGCACCAGACGTTCATCGTCCTGTCAAACATATCCAAATGTTACGGGTTGGCGATTGTTGTTGTAGTCTCTTTGAGAGTTCCCCCCTCTAGAGGCCAATCCTATGGTAGAAAGAGTCTAAGCAGAAGGTTAGACTACTGAGACTGTTGGGTGGGAGCAGGGAAATCAACGGCATGTCCATATTAACCTTATTCTTAGTGTGTGTTGTATATTTGGCGAGGCTGTAGAATGTAGTTACTGCACCGGAATCATCGTCTTATGACTCACGAGATGCTCAGATGTGTAAGTTGTGTCTCCCACTTGTAATATCTCCATCAAATGGAATACATAAAACAAATTCTGTTGTTGTAACTTACCCTCCACTTGGAGAAGAAACTCTGCTACAGTTTATGGAGTACTTTGCTCGGATTAGTTCCATGTATGATCGTGTTCCACGAGTCCTCCTTTCGCCGAATTTTCAACGATGTTGTTTACAGCTAGTGCATGAGCTGCTGCTGCTGCAGCAAAGTGAGCAGATTTTGCTTCCGTAGCTGGAGACCATGGTTTGGCAAAGCAGCATCTTGCTGGGCACCAGACCAGATCACTGTTGCTAGTTGCTCAACATCCCTTAGTACGGATGGGGCTAATTGCTGTCTCATCAAGGGGAAAGCATGGACTTCAATAGTCCGCAAGCCCAATTCTCCAGCAAGCCTGCCCCAGCCAGGAAGCCCAGCCCAAATCTCTTAACGGGAAAACAGTAGCCAGTTTGCCGCCGGCCCATCATCCACTTCCGTCGCCAAGGGGATCGTCTTCTTTTCCGAAATAAACAGCACCGCTGCTCTTTTTCAATTCCCTTCGCGGTTCCTTCGACCGTACTGATCGCCAGACATCTCCTCCTCGCTTTCCCGTCCGTTCATTCTACTTGCCTTCTCCGGCAACTCTTCTCCTCCTTCTTTTCTCAGTTTCTCCTTCCCTTCGTCAGCTCATAGTTGTCAAGAACCAGTTGATCCCAATAACTCGAGTTATTGGGAGAGGTTCAATCGTGGATCATATACCACAACACTAACACGCCCCCTCAAACGAAAGCCACTCACAAGGGCTTGAAGTTTGCACAGGTCTGAAGACAAGAATATCATGTGCTTAACAAATTGGGGTCACCGGGAATCGAACACAAGACCTCTCGGTCACAGAAGGCTCTGATATCATGTCAAGAACCAGTTGGTCCCAATAACTCGAGTTGTTGGGAGAGGGTTCTGCTGGATCTTATACCACACTCTAACACGCTCCCTCAAACGAAAGCCAACCCATGGGCTTGAAGTTTGCACAGGCCCACCATACCATGTGCTTGAAAGACAACAATTAATATTGGGGGTCGTGGAGATTCGAACACGTGACCTTTTGGTTCGAGGCTCTGATACCATGTCAAGAACCAGTTGGTCGCAATAACTCGAGTTGTTGGGAGAGGTTCAATCGTGGATCATATACCACAACACTAACATCCTTCAATCCCTTTCCCTTTGTGATCTCTGCTTCTCTCCATTCCTTCCTTTCTTCCTGGCTAATCCCCTACTTCTCTTAATCTCTTCCCTTTCTTCCTTTTCATGCGATCCCTCAGCCATGGCCGCGGGCATCTTTTCCTCTTTACGCCTACTAAAAGCATATTTCTTTCTTCCCTGCTTCATATATTCCCCGTCACCCATTTTATTCACTCCTAAAACCTCTTTATCTCTCTCTATCCCTTATGCGGCAGAGTAATCCCTCAACAAGATTTCTGATTCAGCTCAATCTCTCCTCTCTCTGTACTGGCTTACCATGTCAGTCACATTTCTTCCTCCCTCCCCCTACCTTCCCCCTTTAATCCCTTTTCTTCGATGCCCGGAGAGATTCCCGACCCAGAAATTGAAAACAGAGGAGACACGAAACAGAGTGCCTACAGAAAAGAGAACCAGCCATGGACTGGAGCTTTCTCTGCCCGGCTCACTACCCTGAGCAGTGAGCACAGAAGTTCTACCAGGCCGTACACACAAAGCCCTCATCTTTCAAGTGTAAGAAGACTGCCAACAGGGGTGGCGGGTGTGTGCCCGACGCGACGATTCCAAGCTACTCCCTTTCAACAATTATGTTCCAAGTTTCGCCTCTCCTAGGCTTCACTTGCGGGGGCATGATAAGGACTATTGACTCAATCAACTTTCTGTTACATTCCACCATCTTATGTTCCTATTTTACAGCCATGTTTCTGTTCTTGGCTTACTGTAAACTCGGTAGTCTGTTACCAAAGTGTAGTATATATTCAGCATATCAATAATACAGAACTCAAGGGGTTTCACAACCCTCTCCCAACAACTCGAGTTATTGGGACCAACTGGTTCTTGACATGGTATCAGAGCCTGGTTTGGCCAAGTGGTTGTGTGTTCGAATCTCCACGACCCCCAATATTAACAGTTGATTAAAGCACAAGGTATGGTGGGCCTGTGCAAACTTCAAGCCCATGGGTTGGCTTACGTTTGAGGGGGCGTGTAAGAGTATGGTATAAGATCCAGCAGAACCTTCTCCCAACAACTCGAGTTATTGGGACCAACTGGTTCTTGACAATAGTTACAGTCTTCACGGCGATTCTTCTGATTCTGATTCTGGTCCTGGGAAGTGGGAAGTTCATCTCCAATTCTCGTAGCTCTTTGTTCCTTCAAAATTCCCTGGGAATCCTTCGCCTTTGGGTAGACGAGGAAAAAGAGTCGAGTGGCTGCATTCAGAAATTGGTAGCTTCTGTAATCTTACGCTGGACTGAAACTTGATTTATTGAGTGTGAGTGACTGGGGAGGGGAAATGGGGTTTGAAGAGTTCGAACCCATTTACGGCGAACCGAAAGCAGAATGGGGGAAGAGCTCCGACTTCGGACGTTCTGCTGTTCCTCTCCGGAGATTCTTGATGCATGTTTTCGCTCCTGACTACTATCACCTCAAGATTCAAGCAACCGATTACAGCTCCAACACTTTTGAAGCTAATAAGTCCATCTCGCAGCTGAAAGACTTGGTAAGCCCTTGGGAAATTTATAATAACCCCTTTCCTTTCTGCTCTTTCAAGTTGATTTCGTGGCGGGCAGTTTTCGTCATTTCCCCCCCTGGTTGTTTTGGCAGCAAGATAGCATTGGAATTGGTGGCTCATGGTCTGAGTTTGTGGACTACTTTATATCTTCACTTAAATCTGAAGATGTCAAGCTTGTTCTGGAGAAGCAATCGGGTGGTGATGGTAACTGAAATCGATTTTTTGGTTAAGAGTACTCAGAAGTTTCAGTCTTGCTGCTGATGTAAATGTGCTGTGGTTGAACTTCTTTTTGGTTCAGGTGCTGCATCGGCAAGATTGGTTTCTCAGAAAACAAAAGGGATGCCTTTTATCTCCATTTCTCTCAGGAGAGTTTTGGACTGTGATGCAAATGATGTCATGGCAGATCTCTCTTTTGGGCTCTTCAAGACGCTCAAGTGTCCTCCAAAGATGACGAGACAAGGTCAAGGTGGGTCATTGTGGAATCAGTGTATTCTTCTCTTTCCAACCTATTTACTGGTTTTTGTGATTCTGTCTGCAACTTGTTATATATATATGCTGGGTGTCTGTTGATTGTAACATCAAGTTGTAAAGATTTGATTCAGTAAGTTCGAGGTATCCTGATATAGAAGGATTACAGAATTGGTAGCATTAGGAAGTCAGGAATGCATTGTTTTCACTTGAATTTCGAGTTGATGGTGTTTAAAAAACTTTGGGGTTTTCCAGGGGAAGGGTATTCTTCGCAGTTGATGAAAGGAGTAGCAACAGATGAAAAGGTATTGCTTTGCAGCTTTTCTTGTATGATGCTGACTTGATCACAGAATCAGCTCATTAAAGTATCGTATGAAGCGAATTCGGCGAATGATTACGCATAGCATTCTATTGCTTGGTGACTGCCATTGATTATGCATGCATCTTTATCTGATGTCAACCTTTCTATCTGTCAGCAAAAGAACCAACTCGAGAGCCAATTGGAAAAGAGGCAGAAACTGGGAAATGTGGATGCTTTCAACAAAGAAGGTGTTTCCAGCAATGGCTTACATAATTCGCCAGGTAAGCATTCATCTTTACTGCTAGCTTGGTGGCATGGCATAACCAGCATCTTTACTGCTACAACAAGTGCATCTTATTTACTATTATTATGTAATATACTGTGAATGCTTCATTTGGACGAACTCTTTGGAGTTTGGATTGTTGTGTGCCATTTTAAATTTATTTCTTCTGGCACAATCAGTAATACTCTATTTGAAGTGATCCTTGATTTTTTCAAAATATTGCAGCCATGAAGGCATTTCGATAAGTTCACTTCCACCATTAATACTAGTCCTTGGTTTGCATTATCTTGAACCAACAACATATCTGCATTTTAAAGCTTAATACTAGGAATCTTAATAAGGGGGGACAAAATTTTTAATTCTTCCCATTTTCTAATAGACAAGCAATCAGCTCGAGCTACTGCAGCACCAAAGAAAGTTATCAATCGCGTTGTGCCAGCACATCGCAGGTACTTGAATTTTGACTATAATCTCCCTGGTTTGGACTTGGCGAGGCAATTTCTCGTATTAGATTTAGATCAATAACATGCTATATATTTGTGCTCAGGACAAGAGTAAGGGGTGCTCTTATAGGCGATGCTGAAGATGACGACGAAGAAAGTTAAAATAGCAAGCAGAGGATTAAAAGAGTAATCTCCTAACTAAATTGTATCAAACACCAGCAGATTTTGAATGATAGTTTTTGTAAAAAAAAAAAACAAATTCTTGGATTACAGGCTATATACATTGTAGGCGTCCGATGTCGCTAGTCGATCCAAATTGTCCCAGTGGCCAACTGAAAGTGACTATTTGGAGGGGTTAAGGCCAGCTGATTTGCTGGAGTTTCTGGAACTTTAAAATGAGAATGTGTTGTGTCACTTCGAGTGGTTATGTTATGTATGGTTATAAAGATTATGAGACTGCTGGTACTTAGTTGAAGGGATTAATGGGATAATGTAATCTAATTTAGGTAGTCTGAAGGCTTTGGGAAATGCCTTTTGTTAGTCTAATTGCATTTGGTTTAATTTAAAGATGGTTGCTTAATTACCTTATTATTTAGACTTGTTATGCACTAATTCTATATGAATACTCACTTTGTCTTAGTAGTGACTAGTTGAGATTTTGGCTCCTAAACAAAGATACTGGAAACTGAAAAACATAGGAAAACTGAATAGAAGTTTTCCCATTTCAATACTGAATAAAAAATCTGGGAGTTTGCTATTTCCTTTTTGGTGTTATTTTGAAGACTGGCACCTAGCTATGGGCTAAACTCTGTTTCTTTATATAGAGGTTTCAGTTTTGGCATTAATGGAAGGATACACTGATAAATTTGCTTTGAAAAGAACTCAGAAGCTCATTTTCCTTAGTTTCATTATACACCCACTAGTATGAAGTTACTGTCTCTTGGGTAAAAGTTAGTAAAGGGAAAAAGGTGATGGTGGTAAATAGTGGGGGTAAAAATTTAGCATCCTAAAATGGCTAAAATACAAGCTAAGGATGCAGAAAAAACCTGTTACCCAAATAGTTCCTTTAACCATTGTCAGCAAAGAGAAAGAGAGAGCAAGCAGCTCCTCAACTGCACCAGGCAGGTTTGTGCTAGACAAACAAGCTCTCTCTGTATTTCCTCTAGCAAGTTTTCTCCTTCTCCTTTCCCTTCTTCGAACCCTCCAAAGCAACAAGTGTTTCTCCTCCAGAGTTTGAGATCTCTGGCTGCCTGAAAACCAACCTCAAGCTTGTCCTATTTCCTGAAGCATCTCACTGAGGAGACAATGGCACTCAAGAAACTGGTAAACCCTTTAAAGTTTTGTCCTTTTTTCATGTTCAAGATTCCAGTTAGGGTTTTGTAACTACAGCCTAGTGTCAAACATTTGCCTGTTCTTTTCATTTATCAGCTGATTCCACCAGAGTTTGTTAGCAACTGTGGGAGGGCAAATTTGACCAACCCGGTAGTTCTGGAACCAACTGTTGGAGATCCACCACAGGTGGAGGTGGAGCTCTACGAGGATGCCAGGGGTTTTTGGCTGAGAAATGGCTGGCAGGAGTTTGCAGACCGCAATTCTCTCACTCATGGACACTATCTGTTGTTCGAGTACAAAAGCTTCTCCAGGTTCAAGCTTGTGATGTTTGGAGCAAATGGGGTGGACGTGATGTGTCCAGCTTCCAGCTTCCACAATGTGGGCTCGAATCGAAACCAGGAGTTAAGAGAGGCTGAGCAGGACGAAGAGGCCAGGTACAGACTCTGCCCTTGTCACTATAAATCTCTTTTAAGTTTTGGGTTTATCTGACTTGCCATTATGATGATTTTTCGCAGGCTCACCTGTGGCTGGAAGTGGTGGGGGGCAGCCAGCCCGGCCGCGGTTTGCAGAGAATGCCAAGCAAAAAGCTTTCATGGCTACTAGTGAGTGTAGGTTCTGCTTCGAACATAAGAAAAATGGAGAAAGGATCACAAGTTTGATAATCCTTTCATCAATTTCTGCAGGGAAAGGGAGAACGGCTGATGGTGGACAGAGTGGTAAGAGGAACCAGTTTGGTAAGGATAAGGCTGAGACCTCACACATTCCAGCCAAGGCTGAACATGTTGAAGGTTCATTTCTTTTTTGTCAAACTGAAATGTGATTTCTTCTTCTAAGTGTAATGTAGTGTATGAAATTCAGAATTGCCTGACCTTCATATCGACCCGATTGAATGCAGGAATGGCAGAGCCAGGGAGGGGAAATACCTCCACAAGCTCGATCAGTCCAAGCTTCTTCATTACCATAAACCAGACTAACATGAATAAATGCTATGCGCTAGGCTCACTCATTTTCCATCAACCCAATCTAACCTTTTCTTAAGCAGGCTTTGCTCAACAAAATTTGATGTCTCCATTCTTTATCACTAAATATGCAGAATCTGCCGACTGGTTTTGTGTTCGAACATATGAAGCTCGAGAAAAGCACTGTGATGGTTTGCAGTGAAGATGGGTCGGGACCATGGGTCTTGTCCTTCATCTTAACAAAAAGTTATGGTGGACATGGATGTGGACAGGGCCGCTTCTCTGGTGGTTGGCCAGCATTCCGTAATGACAACTCTCTGAAACCAGGGGATGTCTGCCGATTCAAGCTCATCTCCCGTGATGAGATGGAAGTGACGGTCGAGAGGAACTGAGTTAGTTTTTCAGACCTCTAGAATGAAAGCTTGGTTGTGTTATTTCATATTTGTCACCCTTTTTGAATTCCTGAAATTTCCATGATTTTGTTTCTGGATAGAACTCTCTGCAATCTGATGCAGTACACTCCGCATCTATATCTTCCCTATAATTAATCAGCATTGTCCTGAACCTGGTTTGCATTCTGCAGGTGTGCAAGCAACTTCCATAGCACAATCGATATACATTTGCGAATTAGTAACGATATCGCCATACCAGGTTCACGTTTGCAGGATTAAAATCATTTTGAAACGAGTCCGAATGATCGGAACGATTCTGAAACAAATTTGGAAACTAGAGCCAGCCCTCGATCTTCCGTTAGCTAGTCCCGGTACGAGAAAGCAAGCTTGTTGGCGCCGTTCAGCCCAATCAGGAAGAACTGTGTAGTTGTGTAAAATTTGCAGTTCCTCGGAAAGGGAAGTCGGACAGGGAACCGATAGTTCGGGGTTGTATAAGAACTCCGGCCGCCGTCATAATAAGCCATCATCGCCAAGCGGCCATCTGGATGGGCCGCCTTCACGAACCACCAGTTATCTTTGTCGAATTGGTCAGGCACACAGCGCACGCCGATCTTAGGAGGAAGCGGCCAGTCGTTGTGTTCTTCATCCACCACTAACCAATTTGCCATCGGAAATGGCGAGACGCTCTCGTTGGTACTTGGATCATAAGCGTAATGACAGTCAGGCGGCGTCTCGATTTTGACGCTGCGCCAAGTATCCTGTGGCACCGGCCGTCTTGTGCGTAATACGTACTCGCCGAGGAACCGTATCGTCCATGCCCATGGTTGGTTGCGACGTTGCTCCTGCTCTTGAAGTTGAGCCACTTGGTCCCTTAGTTTGCGCGTTTCGGCCGCATTTGCCATCACCAGTTCTTCCTTCTCTTTCCTTAGCCTTCCTGGCTCGACATCCTTCTCGTTCATCGACTTTCGCAGTGCTTCGTTATCATTCTTCAACTTGTGCCATTCATCACTATTCACCAGTATTTTCCCTTTCACAGCAGCAGTTGCAGATGCAGCAGCTTTGTTTTCCTTTCTCAAATTCACCACTTCTTCCCTCAATGTTTTTACCTCCTCATCCTTCTCTTTGCTCAGCTTTGCTCCTTCCTCCTTTTCTCTTTTCAGTGTCTTCAATTCGTCGTTCTTTTGCTTCGACTCCTCGTCGTTCCTCTTTTGCACGATTTGCAACTCGTCGTCTTTCCTCTTCATCATCACTCTCAGCTCCTCGTCCTTCTTCTGCTCCAACTTTCGCAGCTCCTCCGCGTGCTGTGCACTATCATCCTTCAACGTTTGTATCTCTCTGTCCTTCCTCTTTTTCAGCATTCGTAACTCGTCGTCTTTCCTCTTCATCAGCTCCCCGATCTCCTCGTCTTTTTCCTTCTCCAGCTCTCGTAGCTCCGTCTCCTGCTGTTCGGTTGCATCGTCCCTCTCATCATTCAACCTCTGTATCTCCTTCTCTTGTTCCTCCACCTCCGCCCTCAGCTTTCTCAACTCCTCGTCCTTCTTGTTCACCGTCTTCTTCAAATCCTCGTACTTCTCCTTGCTCACCCCTCCGCTCGCCGCCGCCCGCTTCTCCCGTTTCGGTACGGTGTACTTCAGCATGAGGCGTTGCCACACGCTAACGCCCGCCATGTCGACCCCGTGATCCGGCCAGTTGAAAAGATCGTTCAGTCGGAGATAGTGAATTCCAAAGTCTTTGTGTTCTCCCAACTCGACAGCGTCTTGAAAACTGTGCCCCTGGGGGCTCACCCTCAATTGCAGGCGGGTGAGGTGTTGGGCTAGCTTGGTCAACGCCTCCTGTCCCTCGATCTTCCCGTGACCATCAAAGAACATCAGCCCGCGGTAAGACTTCTCCTCCTCCTCCTCCTCCTCCTCGTCTTCGTGGGCGGCGTCGCCACCATCGCGATCAGGAGCAGGAGCGATGGTGGCGACTTCCCTCCAGTGGGTCTTTCTGATGTGGGAAGGATGGATGGTGGGGTTGGTCAGCGCGTAGACTTTGAGGATAGTTTTGTCGGAGGAAGCAACGAAGTGCTTGTCTGACTTGAAATCAAAGAGAGCCATAAGATCGATCGACCGACCGACCGATCGATATTGATGCCTGGTCGAAGATTGGGATGGTGGGATCTAATGTTAATTTGGTAACAAGGTGAGATGTAGGTGAGGGATACTTGCAGAATTTGTAATGTGCCCACCATATCAATTATATAGGAGTGTCGAAATTTAGTGTAGTTTGCAGGATTAAAATTATTGTAAGACGAGTCAACGGTGGAAATAATGAAATTAGTTGCATTATAAATTTCTTTGGAAACACGGGCCTTATAAAAAACAATAATAATAACGACTTTGATTAGTAAATAGTAAATTGCAGTCACTTTTAATTATTTTTGGCGTTTACTAAGGCAATAACCCTAATACTCAACGCTATTGAGATAAATAAATAAAGACTTGAGCGACCAGCGTGGTTGGTAAGTGGAAACTTCATGGTATAAAAAATATGTTAGATACGATAAGTGTTACTCTTACGAGAGAAAAGTATCCCTTAAAATTTTATTTACTGTTTTAGAATTTCATGGTGGTTAGCATCTTCCTAATATCATCTATACAAGTATACAATCATTTTAGACTATAATATATTCGAATTATCATAGGTGGCAGAGTCATAAATTTGAATGAGAGGAAGCTAATGCAAATTGTGGTAATTGTGGAGAGAGGAGAGGACTAAGGGCTTATCGACTACTATATTTTCTAAATTTACCAGTGATTTTACATGCACTTTTACCTTTATGTCAAAGTTTAGGGGGCTTAGCCCCTGTTAACTTCAACCTAGCTCCACTACTGCCAAACGTTATAGACCGTTAATATATATGCCTCTGATTTTTTTTTTGTTCTAAAATATATCAAACTCGATAAGTCGATATCATTTTGAAAAACATAATTAATTTGATTTTTTATACATAAAGTTTTGAATTCCAACTTAAAATGAAAATGTTATAATACATTAAAATTAATTGGGAAAAAAATACTCCTTTAATTTTGCAAGAGCTGATAGTATAATAGTTTAGGACTTTGCTACGGTGACATGCATGTCACGGTGACATGCACTTTTCGGTCGACCTCATATAGGATCAGGTCGACCTAATCAGTTGTTTCAGTATAAAAATAGTTTCATGGTGCCTACTTTGAAGATTCATATCTTACAATTGGCTAGATGGAAATTGGAGATTAAAGGCTTGTTTTGAAGCTGAAGTGTCCCTCTACACATTAAAGTACTTGGGAGCTCAATAGAAAGTCCAGAAGACAATTTTTGAATCTGACCAAAAGGCTATGCCAAAACTGGGAAACTGCCTGAAAATGGCTAAGTCTGGCAACGTGTTTGTCAAGCCTACTTTTGAGCTCAATTTGAGAAGCATGGATGCGAGTCAAGTCCAGGGGCCTCTACCACGTTAAATTACGTATGTTTTTATACAAAGACAAGGCATTGGATGAAAGATTGAATATCTTTAAGGCTTTAAACAAAAGGCTCGAAGTTGCTACGAAGGCTGTTTTCTGGCTGCTTGCTTGTGCTCGAAGTCTGCCAGAAAAACAGCCTTCGTAGCAACTTCGACCCTTTTGTTTGAAGCCTTAAAGATATCCAATCTTTCATCCAATTCCTTGAATTTGTATAAAAACATACCTAATTTAACGTGGTAGAGGCTCCTGGACTCGACTCGCATTCATGCTTCTCGAATTGAGCTCAAAAATAGGCTTCACAAACACGTTTCCAGACTTAGCCATTTCTAGGTAGTTTCCCTGTTTTGGCATAGCCTTTTGATGAGGTTCAAAAATGGTCTTCTGGACTTCCTATCGAGCTCTCAATCACTTCAATATGTAGAGGGACACTCCAGCTTCAAAACAAGTCATTAGTCTTCAATTTCCATCTAGCCAATTGTATGATATGAATATCCAAAGTAGGCACCATGAACTGTTTTTACACTGAAACAACATATTAGGTCGACCGGATCCTATATGAGGTCGACCGAATCCTAAATGAGGTCGACCGGATCCTATATGAGGTCGACTGAATTCTAAATGAGGTCGACCTAATTCTAACTGAGGTCGACCGGAAAGTGCAAGTCACCATGACATGCATGTCACCATAGGCACACCCAATAATTTAATGACACAAAAAACAATAAAGGGCAAATTGCATGATTGGTCACTATCATAGTATCATTGCTTAAAAGGTTCATGTTGAGTTACTAAAAATATTTAATTCCATTCGTGGTCATTAGGTTTAACAAAACATGTTATGGCTGGTCACTTTTCGTCCAATTCTTTTAACTTTGTTTGATGTGCCAGTCAACTCTCATAGTTGACCGTTAAATATGACATGACAATTAAAAAATAAAATAAATAAATTTAAAATTTCCACCTCATTATCACTACTTTTAAAAATAAAAAACGGTCATTTTAATCCCCTAAATCTTGCGAACTAACTTTACCCTTCTTTCTCACTGTGTTGTCTGAGATTTCTAACCTTCAGAAATCCCCACCACGGTGAAGGGGGAAGGGATGCACCATAAAAACAAACAATTCTTAGCTATGCAAGCTCTTCACTAAAGGAACTTCATTGCATTACAAATGATAATATAAAACAAGTTATCGACATATGCCAAAAGCATTTTATTTATATTTTTTTTTTGAACTTTAATTATATTTTGTTGTAATATCTTTTACCTTAAACCACAAACACTATGAATACTGATTTGTGGAACATTAAAATCTCCATTGCATCAATGCAAGAATGCTAGTGGCAAAGCGAATGCTGCGATCCCTTTCAGTTTTGGCATTAATGGAAGGACACACTCTAACACCCACCATAATGAAGTTACTGTCCCTGGGTAAAAGAGAGTAAAGCTGAAAACTTGGTGGTCGTAAAAAGTGAGGGTAAAAAGTTAGCATCCTAAAAATGGTTAAAAACACAAGCTAAGGACAACTCAAGGGCAATCCTAATCTCCTCCATTTGAGCGGGAAATGAAGGTACCGGTGGTAAAATTTCCCCAAGTAGATGTTGCAGAAACCTGACACCCAAAATCCTTCCTTTAACCTTTCTTTGCAAAGAGAAAGAGAAAGCAAGCTGCTCCCCAACTGCACTAGGCAGCCTGATAGAAGGCTCGACTGAAGGCAGGCCGGAGGAGCACTGGAGAGACCTCTGGAGATGGGACGGCCCCAACCGAGTTAAACTCTTCCTGTGGCTTGTCTCACACAACAGACTTCTCACCAAGCTGAAAGAAAGAAACGGCAAATGACACAGAATGGGAGCTGCGCTCACTGTACCAACGAAGAAGAAACGGTGGAACACATCTTGAGGAAATGCAAGAAGACGGAGGGCTTATGGCGACATTTCAACTGCAAGATCAAAGACAGGGGCAATGGATCTCCTTTCAGCCAATGGATCCATAAGAACACTAAGGCTGTCGACACAGGAATTGATTTTGGCATCCTGTGTTGGCTTGTCTGGAAACAAAGAAACGAGGAGGCTCTTGATGGTAAGAAGTACTCGGAGGAGGGTCTGATTTGCAAAGCTAATGCGTGGCTCAATATACACCGTCATGCCAAAGAAAACATCATCAGGAGCCTGGTGATGACAAGCTCTGTTCAGGTGGAGAAAGAGCTTTCCTGGAAACCTCCAAGAGAAGGATGGTACCAAGTCCAGGCGGATGGTTCGGTTCTGGGGGCCTCTGGTTTGGCGGCTGCAGGCGGCGTGATCAGGGATTCCCTGGGACGTTGTTTCGATGCTTTTGCGTGCAACCTTGGTGAATGCTCTATTACTTGTGCTGAGTTGAAGGGTGCTGATGTGGGTCTTGAGAGGGCTTGGAGGCTTGGATTTCGCAAGATCGAGCTTAATCTGGACTCCACCACCGCCATCAGCATTATCAAGAATTGGAAGGACAGCAACCATTCACATGGTTTGCTGGTTGGAAAAATTGGAAACCTCCTGAATCGTGATTGGGAGGTGGTTATTAGCCATGTGTATAGGGAAAGAAATGTTGTTGCTGATTTTTTGGCATCCAAGGGTCATTCCCTTCCTTTTGGTACACATTGTTTCGATGTACGATCCTAACCTCGAACATTGGTTGATGTATGATGTCATGGAAATTTCCACGACCCGTTCTATTAATATTATGCACTAGGGCGTCTCGCCCGTCTTTCTACCAAAAAAAAAAAAGAAAACCAAGCTCTCTCTCTAGCAAGTTTTCTCCTTCTCCTTTCCCTTCTTCAAACCCTACAGAGCAACAAGTGTTTCTCCTCCAGAGTTTGAGATCTCTTGCTGTTTGAAAACCAACCTCAAGCATGGCATATTTCCTCAAGCATCTCACTGAGGAGACAATGGCACTCAAGAAACTGGTAAGAGCGCTTTAAAGTTTTGTCCTTTCACTTTTCATGTTCAAGATTCCAGTTAGGGTTTTGTAGAACATACTGTCAAACTTTTGCCTGTTCTTTTCATGTATCAGCTGATTCCACCGGAGTTTATTCGTAACTGTGGGAGGGTAAATCTGACCAACCCGGTAGTTCTGGAACCAACTGTTGGAGATCCACCAGAGGTGGAGTTGGAGCTCTACGAGGATGCCAGGGGTTTTTGGCTGAGAAATGGCTGGCAGGAGTTTGCAGATCGATATTCTCTCAATCATGGCAACTATCTGCTGCTCGAGTACAAAAGCTTCTCCAGGTTCAAGCTTGTGATGTTTGGTGCAAATGGGGTGGACGTGATGTGTCCAGCTTCTAGCTTCCACAATGTGGGTTCGAATCGAAATAACCAGGAGTTTCCAGATGCTGAGCGGGAAGAAGAGATCAGGGGTACAGACTCTGCCCTTGTCACTATAAATCTCTTTAAGTTTTGGGTTTATCTGATTTGCCTTTATGCTGAGTTTTCGCAGGCTCACCTGTGGCTGGAGGTGGTGGGAGGCAGCCAGCCCGGCCTCGGTCTGCAGAGAATGCCAAGCAGAAAACTTTCATGGCTACTAGTGAGTGTAGGTTCGGCTTAGAACATTAGGAAAAGGGAGAAAGAGTCACAAGTTTGGTGATCCTTTCATTGATTTCTGCAGGGAAGGGGAGAACTGCTGATGGTGGACGGAGGGGTAAGAGGAGCTAGTTTGGTAGGGATAAGGCTGAGACCTCACACATTCCAGCCATGGCTGAACATGCTGAAGGTTCATTTCTTTCTTTTTTTGTAGCTTCCAAGCTTTGTCAAACTGAAATGTGATTTCTTCTTCCAAGTCTAATGTAGTGTATGGAATTCAGAATTGCATGAAATTCATTATTGACCCAATTGAATGCAGGAATGCCAAAGCCAGGGAGGGGGGTTCGGTTAGCCTGACTACCCCTAAAGGGGTAGTGATTTTTGACACCCCCTTTATGATTGGCCAATTTTATTTCCAATCATTGGCATGTATTAATTAAACTGGTTTTTTATTTTTTTTAATCTTGTAATTTGGGGTCTCTCACCACATTGGAAAAGAGAAAGAATCTGGGGAAAAACGAAATCACCCCCATTAATTACATAATTAATTTCTCTCACTGGTACATTAATTACACGTACCACTCCACTGGTACACGTACCACTCCACTGGTACACGTACCACTTCACTGGTGCGAGCAATCCACAAGGTAGGTTAGAGTGAGAACAATACCAGTGCAATGATATTTTTCATAACAATGATAAACAATAACGGAGCAACAATGCAGTACCACTTCAATGATACAAATATCACTCCACTGGTACACGTACCACTCCATTGGTAGGTCAGAGGCGATCCCAGGATGGCGGCAGCTGGAGATAGGAGGATGGTGGTGGGGGAAGGCGCTGGAGGGTTTTGGTCGTTTCAGAGTAGAGGATGGTTCTGGTTAAAATGAAATCAAAATGGAAAGAGGGCCCAAATGGAGAGAGAAGGAGACGAAAGGAAGAAAAAAAGGCAATTAATTGCACATTTGGGGGGGGGAGCTTTTTTCTGATTCCCCATATTCTTTCCTTTTCCAATGTGGGTGAGAGACCCCAAATTACAAGATTAAAAAAAAAACAGTTTAATTAATACTTGCCAATGATTGGAAATAAAATTGGCCAATCATAAAGGGGGTGTCGAAAATCACTACCCCTTTAGGGGTTAGCATAGTATCCGACCCCCAGGGAGGGGAATACCTCCACAAGCTCGGTCAGTCCAAGCTTCTTCATTACCATAAATCCAAATCACATGAAGAATCATCTAGTGGTAGGCTCGCTCATTTGCCATCGACCCAATTCACCTTTCCTTTTTCTTCTTTCAAGCAGGCTTCGCTTAAGAAAAATTGATTTCTCCATTTTTTTTTCTTCTCACTAAATATGCAGTATCTGCCGACTGATTTCGTGTTCAAACACATGAAGCTTGAGAATAGCAATGTGATGGTTTATAGTGATGATGGGACGGGCGCATGGCACTTGTCCTTTGTCTTCAAACAACGAAGTAAAAGCGAACGTGGACGTGGACGAGGCATATTCTGTGGCGGTTGGTCAGCGTTCTGCGAGGACAACTCTCTGAAATCAGGGGATATCTGCCGATTCAAGCTCATCTCCCGTGATGAGATGGAAGTGACGATTGAGAGGAATTGAGTTAGCTTTTCGAACCTCTAGAATGAAAGCTTTGGTTGTGTTATGTGTCACCCTTTTTGAGTTCCTGAAATTTCAATGATGTTGTTTCTGGATAGAACTCTGCAGTACACTCTGCATCTATATTTCCCCCAGAATGTGTTGTGATCGTTTCGTATTCATAGCTCTTGAAAATTTCGAAATCGGAAATGCAAACACATCGATCGAAGTAGCTAATGAACCATGATATGCTATATCGAAGTAGCTGGTAAGTTTACTAGCGAGTGCAAATGTGACAATGTTCACACTTCACAGAGAAAATGATGCACTTGAAACAAGCAAAGGATCAAAGAAACTTAGCTCTTCTTTAACCTGTGAGACGGTTAAATTGATACCAAGCTAGGTGCAGTAGCTGTGTTATATACCAGGGAAAACTGAATAAAGATTTGAACTTTGCAGCAATGAACACTTGAATTGAGTAATATTTGTTGCAGGCGAACTTGGAGGGAGGTCAGCTTGATGCACCTGCAACAATGGCAATCTTCACAAGATGAAGAGAGCAGCAGGAAAGCTTGTAACTATGTCTCCTTATATCAAAGGAGGCTTTTTTTTGTTGTTGTAAATTTTCACAACTTCAGTGGCTTTTGAGGGGCTTTTTGTATTTTCTTGCATCTTTGCGTTTCAGGATTTTCCCCTCTTCCAAAGCAGAAGAAGAGAGGGAGAGGAAGCGGAAAGGTTCGCAGAGCAGAAGCCATGAACGCACCAGATCGTTACGAGCGATTCGTCGTCCCCGAAGGCACCAAGAAGTAATTTTTTTCAAATACCCATCTCCATTCTCTCTGCGAATCTCTCCTGAAAACCCCATTTTCCCTTAATTTGACTGTAATTTCTCTCTCGTTTCTTATTCGTTTGCTGTTCGTTCTTCTAGGGTTTCATACGAGAGGGACACCAAGATCATCAATGCCGCCTCCTTCATTATAGAGAGGGAGGAGCACACAATCGGCAACATACTGCGCATGTAAGCTTTTCATTTTTCTCTGGGGTTGTAGAAATCTTGATGTCTTTTCTCTCTTATTTTACTTTGTCTTGCTTGAGCTCTCATTGTTGCCTTCTCCTTATGGCTGAGCAGGCAGCTTCACTTGGACGAGAATGTTCTGTTTGCTGGCTACAAGCTGCCTCATCCTCTGCAGTACAAAATCATTGTCAGGGTAAGTGCGTTATGTGATGATTTAGAGGAAAGATTGTGCCTTTCATTTCTCTTCCTCGTGAGGTTAAGGTTTGTCTTAATGGGTAGAGGCGGCAACAGGCGTATGTCGAATTCCTGAATCCAGTTTCTGTTCACAGCTTCGATATGCTATATGCTGTTAATGGTTCTGGTGCTACTTGAGGGAAATTAATTTTTATCTATGTTGCTTCTGCTGTTCAGTGGAAGCAAAGGCTTTTGATTACATAGTCTCAGTAGAATAAGGGCCTGCACCTACCAGTTGATCATCTTCTGTTATCTATTTAACAATCGCAACTTCCAAACGACCCGATGACTTCTTGTGCCATTGTCGAGATCTCGATACCTGCTGCAGAATTCCTAGTCTTTGTTAATCCTTTATTTGGGAGAAGGAAAAAAAAGTCTTTCTTAATCCTTTGTGTTTCTTTCTACGTACTCCTGTCGTCGGTCGTCATTGCTAATTTGCTATAGCTGCGGTCAGAATAATCAATCAATGCAAATTTCCAGGAAACTTTATTTAAGACAATTCGTTGCATATTAGTTTACGTTATTGAGGCATTTTATATATATATATATCACCCATCTCAATTCTTATTTATATCCATCTATCCCCGAATATCCAACTCTCTCACTAGCTACAAAATATTCCAGCACCACCTAGTCTCTCTCCATCTCGATCGAGAAGAGCTTGCAATGGCTCTCTTCGATTTCAAGTCGGACAAGCACTTCGTTACCTCCTCTGATGAAACCACCATTAGAGTCTGTGAGCTGAGCGACCCTACTGTTCACCCTTCCGATATCCGAAAGGCGGACTGGAAGGAAGTTGCCACCATCGATATCGTCGATGGTGGCAATAAGGGAGGCGGCAACTCGTCGGCGGAAGGAAAGTACTTCCACCACGGGTTGTTGTTTTTCGATGAACATGGGAAGATCGAGGGACAGGAAGCCCTCACCAAGCTAGCCCGACACCTCGCTCGGTCGGGCTTGATGGTGAGCCCCGGAGGGTACTGCTTTCAGGACGTGACGGGGCTGGGAGAGCACAGAGACTTTGGGGCTCACTACCTCCGACTGAACGATCTCTTCAACTGGCCTAGCCACGGTGTTGACCTGGCGAGGATCACCACGTGGCGGCGCTTGGAGTTGACATACACCGTGCCAAGGCAGGAGGGAATATCAAAGCGACCGATGGTGAGCGGTGGGGTGAGCGAAGAAACGATTGAAAAAGAAGAAGCGCTACAAAAGATGAGAGAAGAGATGGAAGAGGCGACTGAAAAGAAAGACGCGGAGGTTCGAAAGGCGAAGAGGGAAAGGGATAACGAGAAGCGTCTGAAAGAGATGATCGAACGGGCCAGCAAAGAGAAATACGAGGAGTCGAGAAGGATCGTGAGAGGCAAGAACGAGGAGCTAGAGAAGCTGAGGGACGAGTTGGAAGAAGATGAACGGAAACTGAGAGATGAAAAAGACGGGGAAATGCAAAAGCTGAAAGAGGAAATGGAGGACACGAGGGAAGAAGAGCATGAGAAAGAGTTGAAAAGGTCGAGAAAAGAAAAGGATGAGCTGCAAGAGCAGTTGAATAAAAAAGATGTCTTGCTCGGAAGGGCGAGCGATGATTTGCAAAAGCTGAGGAAGGAGAAGGCCGAGGAACTGCGAAAGCTAAGAGAAGAAATGCAAGAGGAGGTAGAAAATTGGAGAAAGGAGAAAGATGAAGAAGTAGAGGCATTGAAAAGAGAAAAGAAGGAGGGAGAAAAGGCGAGCAAAGAGCAGGATGAGGAATTAAAAAATTTGAGGGATGAAGTAGAAACTCTAAGAAGGACCAAAGACGATGATCAAAGCTATGCTACTGGATACAACGGTCGTCCCGCCCGGTTTCCGTTCCGTTTAAACGCTTTTATGGGGACAAACACACATTTCTTCATGATTCGTTTGTTTGAAGAATACAGGCTTGTTTTCCTCTATCGGGACTAACAATGCTGCTGCTTGTTTGCTAGGAGTGGCTATACGGTTCGGTCCGATTAAATTGACCCGAATTAATCCGGTTTCAGTCCAGTCTTTTCGGGAATATAAGGACCAAAGATTGGATTGGATATAATCCTGTCTTGATCCAGTCCGGTCCCAATTCGGTTTTGATTTTAGAAATTAAAATGGCCTGAGACCTCAAAAGGTGAGGAGTTGGTTAAATTTTGGGTGTTGGGCTATTTTATCCGGTTTTCTATCCGATTCTAAACAATTTTTTTACCTCAAATCTAAGCCCGAAGATGTGATTGAATTGTTTGCTATCCGATTCTGGTCTGGATTATACAGTGATTTCAGATAAACCCACAAAATTAGGACCAAATAATCAGCCCTATTGTTTGCTTTTCCATTCCTACTCTTTCTTTCTATTTAGTCACACAAGAGAACCAACAACTACGTATCGATACTTATTTCATAACTCTTGGAATTACAAATTTCTGTTTCTCTGTCTTTTATTGACATATAAAAGTCCTAGTTCTAAGAGTATTTTTTTATAATTTAGATGAACTTTAGTAGCAATTTTTATTAAGGGTTCTTTTTAAAATTTCTTTTATTATTTTTCTTTCATTTGGAAGTGGACACGTCACACATCATACATATTTGTCTCATTTCTCATTTACTTTGATTTTTGCTTCCTCATTTATCTTTTTTTTTTATCGAGTTCGAATATGAAGACAACGAATATTTTTTTAATTCTCCATGAAAAAAAAAACATAATGTCATAGAACCATCGACACAAAATGTTACGTTCTTCCTTCATTTACCTCTCATTTCGTTAAATTTTTATGATTTTCTTTTTATAATCATTTTTTTTTGTGAGAGAAAAATAACGTCATTGTTCGTATTTGGTTTTTGCCCCTTTATTTATCTTTTTAGCGAATTGCTAGATCCGAGGACAACCGCAAGGTGGGAGACCATAGTCGCCGTGGTAGTACTTATCGAAGAACAAAAGAATCCCAGTAATAAAGTCTCGACAATTGAAATCAAGTTCCACAACCAAATAGAATTTCAAGTTTTTTTTTTGTTTGTTTGTTGTTCCCTAATTGATACTTATCCATTTTTATTGTTTGCTTCAATTTATTCCAAAATAATGAAAGACTCAAAAGGATAGAAGAAATCAATGTAGTTGGTTGTTGTGCACTTGTGCTGATGTCTTTATATACTGCCATTATTATGCAATAACATAGCAAATATTCCAACCATAATCTCCGACGACCATCTCCACAATAAAGTATATATTAGCTATGGTTCGTCTGTTCGATTTCAATTCAGAAAGTAGAGATCGATCAGCAAACGCGTTTTCGAGCGTAGTATGAGTTTGTGGAAGGAAGAAATAAGAGAGACAGAGAGAGAAGTGAACAGACTAGCTGGATGGAGATGCAAGGGTGGATAAATAATGATTAATAATCTTTTACTTAATTGATAATCATATAAAGCAGAAGATATTTTTCACCCATTCGCATCAAGGTTAAACTTACTTCTTGCATCCGTCCTCCTCCGAAAGAGCACCTCTAAAATAAGAGGTAAAGATTCCCTTAGCAACATACTCGATCAAATGAGTGATTTTTTCAATCGATGTTATACTACCCTCACAAATAATAATTTTGGGTATGTCAAAGTTATATTATGATGATCAAGGAGCCTTATACATATGATACCAAATCAAAGTTATATTATTATGATGCAAGTTATTTATTCATGATAATTGAGACTAATATATGTTTGATTCGATAAAAGAAAACTTCCTTACATCACAATCCACAACTTGTGAGAAAAGAATAGGGTTGTGCTCAATATTATATATGATTAATTATGTGATGATATAAATACTTAACGACTTTGATTAATTAATAATCCCGCTGATTTCTTCTGTTATTCACAAATGGGCATTCAGTTTGCGAATGCTTGTCCGGTGTGATATATATTGAACCGTATTTGTTGAATAATGTAGACGATGAGTGTAATCTATGATATTATTGAAAGATGAAAACGCATCAGGATATTTTTGAAAATAATAATTTTTTCCCCATGTTCTTAGTTAGCATGATATTATTTTTTAAATCTTTTTCCAAAAAAATTTATCATAGAATATCCCTCAATATAATTTCTCTGTCCGCCAATTACCATACGTAATCCCCTTCCTATCACGACCGCAAATTTTTCATACATTCATCCAAATCCATAATGTTTATAGTCATCATTAGTTAGATTATGAATCAAGATTAACTTGTTTTTTTCCAGCAAAGTGTGTAAGGTGTGAGGATTAGTAGTATTAGTCACTTCAGCTAATTGAAAATCAAAGCAATTCTATAGTTATAGTGTATAGTGTGCACTATTGTTATCTGTAAATGGTTACAAATCGTATGTACAGATTAACATACTATTTGTTAATCTAGATTCTAGACAGTTTTTTAAAATTTTCCCAAAATTAGAAAAATGGTATGATTAAACAAAGACTCTCCTTATGATTAAACAAAGACTCGATCTCGCTTATATATTTATTCATCAATACAAGAGACAAAAGACTCTCCTTATAAATAAACAAAGACTCTCCATAGTGTTCTTCATCAAATAAAAGAATGACTCAAACTTAATTATTGGCTCCTAGTCAATGCAATTGCCAGGAAACTTATTTAGACAAGTCACATATTAATCTAAGTTAAGTGGGTTCATGGTGAGAGATGGCCACATTTAGGCATTTAGCATTATATAAAGATATACCACCCAAACAAAAACCATACAAACATATCACCCAATCTCAATTCTCATCTATATCTATCTATCTATCTAACCTATAGGCTCCCACTAGCTAGCATGGTTCTCTTTGATTTCAAGTCAGACAAACACTTTGTTAACTCCTTTGATGAAATCACCATTTAGAGTCTGTGAGTTGAGGGACCCTACGATTCACCCTTCCTATATCCGAAAAGCTCACTGGAAGGAAGTTGGCACCATCATCGTCGATGGTGACAATAATGGAGACGATGATCTGGCGGAAGAGCAGTACTACGACGGGTTGTTGTTTTTCGATGGCCATGGGAAGATCGAAGGACATGAAGCCCTCACTAAGCTAGCCCAACACCTCACTCGGTCGGGTTTGATGGTGAGCCCTGGAGGATACTGCTTTCAAGATATGACTGAGTTGGGAGAGCAAAAAGATTTTGGGATGAAAAAGATGGAGAAATACGAAAGTTGAAAGAGGAGATGGAGGATGCAAGCGAAAAGCACGAGGAGGAGCTGCAAAAGTCGAGAAAGGAAAAGGACGAGGTGCAAAAGCAGTTGACGAAGAAAAACGACGGCGTGCAGCAGACGCTCAAAAGGGCGAGCGACGACGACTTGCAAAAGCTGAGGAAGGAGAAGGTCGAGGAAGTGCGAAAGCTAAGAGAGGAAATGCAAGAAGAGATAGAAAAGGCGAGAAAGGAGAAAGATGAAGAGGTGGAGGCATTAAAAAGAGAAAGAGACGAGGGAGCAAAGCCGAGCAAAGAGCAGAACGAGGAACTAAAAAAATTGAGGGAGGAGGTAGAAACTCTGAGAAGGACTGAGAATGATAAAGCATGTAAAACAACGAAGAAGGAGGAAGAGATGGCAAAAGTGCTCGAAAATGAGCGAAGAAAGAACAAGGACGAAGCATTGCAGAGGCTGATCAACGAAAAGGATACCGAGCTCGAAAAGCTGAGGAACGAGCATGAAGAAACGATGAAAGAGAACGCTGCCGAAACGAGAAAGCTGAGGGAACAGTCGTCGCGACACGAGCTGGAGCAACGTCGGAAGCAATCATGGATGGCGCTACCTACGACACCGTACACCACTGGTGAGACAGACCACAAAAGCAGAAGACGGGCGGTGCCACCAAATACTTGGTGCAACGTTAGTGGGAGTTACATCTACTACCATGATAATAATTTGAAGGCGGCGGACTTATGTGGGTTCCTTCAAGGAACTTTCCAAGTTGGAGTGGTGGAGGAAGACACCAAAGATTGGTTGTCGCCCCCCGCGACTAATATATATTGTGGGGGCAGTGAATCATTCGACCGCAACAACTGGTGGTTTGTGAAGATATTGCATCCGAATGACGGCCTTATTATGTTGGCATATTACGACGGGGACCGAAGCTATACTGCTGGGTACAGAGATTACACTACCAAGTTTCCGATGCCCAGGGACATTGGTATGCAGACAAACACAGTTTTCTTCATGATTCATTTGTTTGGCGAATTCAAGCTTGCTTTCCTCTACCGGGACTTACTATAGGCAATCGGAGAGGCTAGCTTTTCGTTTTTCCCGCTGTGTTTAGGGTTCGTGGATTTGAAAAATGAAGGTTTTGGTATAACTTGAGTTTTGATAAATTATGGATAATATGAGGGTTTTGGGTTCATTATGGATTTGAAAAATATCATTGCTTGTTTCATGATTTTCATTATGGATTTTGTTATTTAAATTTGTATGAAGAGGTGAACTTTATCTATATTGTCCTCAATCATATATTAGGAGAAAGAAAATATGAGGGGTAGGTTAGTAAAAAATGATAGACTTCAAAGTCCATGATCAATCCCACCTAAAAAGGTGGGATTTTTAAGTTTGTGGGGCCCACGGATTTGGACCCCTAAAGTCCATGGGTCCCACGAATTTGATTCCACTAAATACTTGAAGCAAACAATGAATTTTGAACAAAATCTATCATGAACCCAAATCCTTCACCAAATCCATCAAGCAAACAAGCCCTTGATAACCACCTACGTTCAACACAATCATTCCCCATTTCGTAACTTTTGGAATCGTAGTTAGCGGGGAGTATGAGGAGTTGAAAAACATGGCTAGGACTTGAGAGAAGCCGAGGGAGGAGATGCAAAGCTACAAAAGCCAAAAGAGGAGATGGAAGGTTGTAAGTGAAAAGTACGAGACAGAGCTACGATAGTTGGAGAAGAAGGGTGAGAAGTTGCGAAAACTGTGAAAGAAAAACAAAAGGATGTATTCGAGATGTCGCGAAAAGATGTAGGATGAGGAGTTAATGAAAAAGAATGATGAATTGGAGATGTTTGGGGGGAAAAAGAAGGATCGATTATGGAGCAAAGCTGCACCAGAAATGTGTTTTTCCCTATGCAAACATATTCCTTGCAGAATGCTGGTGAACTAGTAACAATGACTGCACACATTAGCTATACACCAAAAATCCAATCCCAACAACTGCTGATACTACCAAGTCTCGCTGGGTTTTGAGGAATTGCCGATGATAGAAGATTCTTTGCATCACTTGACAGGAAGATTCTCTGAGCTCTTAGTCGCTTTCACTGTAGCCGTCATCACTTTCAGGTTCGTCGTTGGCAAAGCTAAAAGCTTGATCAAGGTAGTTATCAACGTAGGCTTCATACTGGTCCTCGAAATTCGTGGCTTCACCATTCAGCAAACTGCGATTCTCATCATCATCAGCTTCCTCTTCATCTTCCATTCCACCTTCTTCGTTTTCTTCTCCATCGTCGTCACTTTTATCTTCACTCTGCAACTCGTCTTCTGCTTCTGAACTTTCATCGGGATATTCATTAAATGGATGATTTTCAGCTGGGGAAAAAAAGCGACGAGGAGAAGGAAATGAGAAAGCAGTATCATCACAATGCTTTGAGCTATGGTGCATGAGGGACTAATAGTGAAGATTCAAATGTCACCAATCCGTTTTGGTCACTAAGATCATATCGGTTAGGACTACCGGATTTAGTCACTGGTTAACCAGACCAAACCAGTTAGCAACATCTAGCTAACGGAGTAAAAGAGTAAGAGTCAACAATACCGTTTGAATCTTCACTGTCGCATTCAGATCCGTCATCTGGTCCATCATAGAAATCCTCATCCTCAACTTGCACCCTTAGAACAAGGCGCCACGTCATCAAATGAAACGTACGACAAACACAAAAACCGTTGGTTTCCGATACTTACAGAGGAAATGGAAAAGGCGTGTCTTCGTGTTCTATGTCCATGGTATCATTCACCGTGTAGTAGTCGTACACATACTCATCTGCCGTAAAGTGAAATGGAAAACGAACCGATCAAATAGTAGTTAGCAACATAAAATAGAGATAAGCTCCAGGCTTATGGCATGACAAAATATTTCCTACAAAATGAAACTGTTCTACAAAAAAACCTTGAAATCCTACCTTCCTGGGAAGTGGAAGCACTGATTTCAGCTTCAATCTCCCCAGCAGCATCTGGAATCAACTCTTTTAAGAAAGGCAAGTAGCTAGAAAGAAGCTTCTGATCCTCCACAGACAGAGCCCTGCATTGAAACCAGAGGAACTAACTTTAGTTAATGTTTACTTTGTCTCCGTAAGACACAATAACTTCCAACAGCAAAATACTTACTCTTTCTGCTTCTCCTGACTGGATTCAGCATCAATTCGAATGACATCATAGAAATGACACATATCATGCACTTCTTCCTCTGTTTCCTTCCGGCTGCTCCATATTTGTTGGAAGCGAGCACTTTTGGCGATTTGCTAACACCAAGAGCCCAATGTACAGCAAGATGAAACAAGAATTAGAGAAAGGTAACACTCTTAACAAAGCAAAGGCACTATCTTTCAGGTTTTCCAAACTAAGAGCTTAAGGATTCCCAACCGGCATGGGTTCATTAGTCATTACCAAAGGCCTTGTTTTGTATATAAGGGGCTTTTCTCATCCCAATTCTAGTAAAAAGGGCATTTTATTCCATCTCCCATCATTATATAAATACAAGCTCCAACTCCATTCACTAAATATACCTCTTGACTTTGTCTGGATTTCAAAAGAATTTGTTCTTGTTTCTGCAGAAATTAGCACAAAAAAGCAGAAAGTATCAGATATAGCAACCACTAATGAAAACTCGTGGCTATATTACTTATGGTGGATAACTAGGGAGGGAGAAAGATACCATACATTTACACTTTTAAAGGTCCGTTTCCGGTCCTCCGTTGTCGTTTTAGCTTCGACCACATCAACAGAGTTAGGCTGCAAAGACAAAGAATCTGTATTCAAAACACTGAAGCATGTTACGGTACATCTAAATTATCAGAAAATGGGAAAGCTGAACATAGCTATGATGCTCCAAGTTCAAATTCCAGCACAAGATCAGAATGCAGACAATGAATCAAATCGCCTGATATCTATTTCCCGGATTTTTGCTAGATAAACAATCAAATGAATCAATTTTATGCACAACCAATCGCTACTTAACCTGCAGTAGCCGATATGCAACACCAAAAGGATCTTGCAAGCACTATAACGCATCAATGACTACAGAAACTGTGAAATGCAGAAAACACAGACGAGTTCCACTAACCACAAACGATTTCACAACACGAATAGTGGATTCCGAGGTGCTGATCGTTTCAACGTGCTGCACAAGGACCTTCCTAGTCTTAGATTCTTCTCCTGCTACAAAAAACAAGAGACCACCAATTTCAACATAGCAAGACGAAGAAACCTGATACACTTCCTATGGTTCACGCCATGGAAGTGCTTTTAGGTCAAATTTCGTAATCCCTAGTAAGCAACCAAACATTTTGGGGTCCCCAATCACTATTTACCGTTTCCATTAGCGGAATCGCCAAGCGAGAGCTTTGCCAAATCCAAAGTCGCGCGCTTAGACGGCCGCTCGTTGATTTCCAGCCCTACAAAACCAGAATCCGCTCAAGCCAATTACTTCACAACTCCTCGAACAAGTCCGCAGCGACATTACCGAGCCGCTCCGTCAAATTAAAGACCAGTAAGTGGAAGAGAAGAGAAGCGGAAACTGACAGAAGGCGTCGAGTATAGACTGGTGCAACTTCCGCTTAACCCTAACGACGACGGGCTTCACTCCGTCGTTGGACATCGGAGGTGGTGAAGAGCTCTCGCCGACGTTCGCCATTTGTTTCGGAAGGTTTTTGGAGGGAGAGGGGTTAGAAGCTTCGCGTCGCAGTCGAGATTTTAGAAGCAAGGCTGAATCGGTCGGGTTCTGTTGTGAATTGGGCCAATAGCCCGAAAAAAGAAGCCCAATAATCCTTGATCCAGACTGGGCTTGGTCGTCGAACTTGTTGTTGGCCCAACTAACCAAAATTAACCAGCTGTAATTACTATTACTAATTAGTCCCTCTTTCTGACTCTTAACAGCTCCCGCCTCCCGTTGCCCATTTCTCTCGTCGCCTCTAACTCTCCTCCTTTCTCTGCCGGAAATTTCCCTCCGCCGCCACCCACCAACCACCGACGAGCCATGATGTCACTGAATCTCACTCACCCACCACCGCCCACCGCCTTCCCCAAATCCACCACCGCCCACCGCCGCCTCTTTTCCGTCCCCGCCACTTTCCCCCAACTCCACCGCCGAAACCCTCCTCTCATTTCCGCATCCGCCACCAATGGTGACCAATCTCGATTCCTCCCCGACCAATCAGCTATCCCCAGATCTCGCTTCGCCGTCAAATCGGTGGCGGCGGCAGAAGGGAGCGGTTCATCAATCCCGGATTCGAATCCCAAACCCGCCGTCAACCAAACCCTAAAACTCGCCACCGTATTCAGGCTCTGGTACTTCCACAACGTAATCTTCAACATCTACAACAAGAAATCCCTAAACGTCTTCCCCTACCCATGGTTCCTCGCCACGTTCCAGCTCTTCACCGGCTGCATCTGGATGCTGGCCAACTGGTCAATCAACCGCCGGTTCCCCAAAATCTCCAAGGAGTTCCTCCTCGCCCTCCTCGGCCCGGCGCTGTTCCACACTGTCGGCCACATCTCCGCCTGCGTCTCCTTCTCCAAAGTCGCCGTCTCGTTCACCCACGTCATCAAATCCGCCGAGCCCGTCTTCTCTGTCATCTTCTCGTCTTTCCTCGACGAGATCTACCCTCTCAAGGTCTGGCTCTCGATCCTCCCCATAGTCTTCGGCTGCTCATTGGCCGCAGTGACCGAAGTCTCCTTCAATTTGGGAGGACTCTCTGGAGCCATGATCAGCAACTTCGGCTTCGTCCTGAGAAACATCTACTCCAAGAAGAGCCTGCAGAATTTCAAAGAAATCGACGGGTTGAATTTGTATGGATTGATTAGTTTAGTCTCGTTTGTTTACCTGCTCCCCGTCGCGATTCTCGTCGAGGGCTCGCAGTGGGTTGGGGGTTACAAGAACGCGATTGTGGCAGTGGGCGGGAGGTCGATGGAGTTTTATGGAATGGTGCTCTGTTCTGGGATCTTCTATCACTTGTACAACCAGTCGTCGTACCAGGCGCTTGATGATATCAGTCCATTGACGTTCTCTGTTGGGAACACGATGAAGAGGGTGGTGGTGATTGTTGCCACCGTGTTGTTCTTCAGGAATCCGGTGAACCCATTGAATGCTCTGGGGTCCGGGATTGCGATCCTGGGGACGTTTTTTTGTACTCTCAGGTGACGGCGAAGAAAGGGAAGAAGAAGGAGGAGGAGCCTGCAGTGGGAGATGAGAAGAGCAGTTAAGAGAGAAAGGTTGGAGCTTTTTTGAGCTGCGAGGAGGGATTTGCTATGAGTTCCAGTGTTGTGCAATGTGCATCAATGGAGGGGAGTTGTGGGAGTGGGGTTGCAGTTGCTGATTGGTATTTTTGAGATGGTGTGAGAAGGGAATTCTAGGATTTGTAGCCTTATTTTTTGTTGTTGCTGGTCTGTTAGTTTAGTTGCAGGCTTTAGAGGTGATTGATTGTTGGTTCTTCTTCAAGAAATGAATTGTTCTTTCTGTTAGGCTTTTTGGTCCACTATTTCTGCCTTCATGGCTTTGCAATTTTGGTGCCAATGGAAGAGCCACTCTTTTAAGTTTTCCCTTAACAATCGTCGTCTTTGGTACCCACCCACACCAAGAATGGGCATTCTTTGATTCTAGAACCGGATCGAATCGAGATAAGACTTGATTATAATCAAACGAAATTGAGAACCGAAATCATATTGAAAGTATGCTTAAGTTCATATTCCCTTCATACTGATATAATTTATAAGATCAAATTGAATCGAAATATATTTAAGTCGATTCGGTTTTGCCGAATATCGATTATGAACAAGTTGATTCGGTTGGAAAGTTGAGAACAAAAATCATACCAAAAGTATGGTCACTTCATTTAGTTCGTCTTCATTCGATCCGGATTACTAAAGATAATTTATAGAATCGAAATTGAAGTGAAATATCTTCAATCCAATTTGATTTGGCCAAATATAGACCAGATCATTGTCCATTCTTGTAAAGATCTAGGGCTGAGATAATTAAGTGACGTGCTTCTATGAGATTTCACAAACAAATAATAATATTTCATTGTTAGTCCGTACAACAAGTGGATCCTTGGCGCAATGGTAGCGCGTCTGACTCCAGATCAGAAGGTTGCGTGTTCGATTCACGTAGGGTTCAATTCCCTTTTTATCTTACCAATCCAAACTTCACCTCTACCCCAAAAGAATCACGTTATTACAAAGAGCCCCACATTTTGCACATTTAGTCATTTACATCCCCAATCCGTCAATGCAGCCCAGCCCAAATATTTCACTTTGATCCCCTATCTTTCCAAATTTTCTATCTTCAATCTCTCTCCTTAGTCCTCTCTCTCCCTCCCTTTCATCAACGACTCGCTATCTCCAGAGCCTACGAGGTTTTTGCAGAGACTTGCAGATAGAAAATGGCGCTGCACCAAATCACAGCCCTCAATTCTTCCCCATTCGCCCTTCATTTTGCTCCAATTCGCAGTCCGGAGATTCAATCCCAGCGGCGGCCGCCGCAGCTCCGGTTCCGCGTCTTCGCCTGCGTCTCGACGGCGAAAACCAAACCGCCCCGGAGGAAACCTTCGCCAGACGCCGAGAAAGCGGAGGCCGAGGAGCTGGTTCGCGTCATGGTGAGGAGCTTCACCGAGAAGGAGCCTCTCTCAAAGACGCTGAACAAGTACGTAAGGCTCGTAAGGACTCAACACTGCTTCATGCTGTTCGAGGAGCTCGGCAGGAAGGGGAAATGGCTCCAATGTCTCGAGGTTCGTAAGAAATTCGCTCTTTCCTTCACCAATTTGCTACGGCGGATTCGCCCTGGGTTGATGAGATAATTAGATAATCCTTCTAGCGAACTGATTCGGTAGAATTGTTCTTAGGGTTAGAAGAATCTCATTTGCAGATGGAATGAGTTCAACTAAAGTAGATTGGGTATGTTAAAGTTATTAACTTGATCACTGGATATATTGGAGAGTCAACTTAGGTTTTGCCACCCTTCACTCATGAGTTAATACATTCAGGTGTTCAGGTGGATGCAGAAACAGAGGTGGTATGTAGCCGATAATGGTGTCTACTCCAAGCTGATATCTGTCATGGGGAAGCACGGCCAAATCAGGATGGCAATGTGGCTCTTCTCAGAGATGCGCAACAGCGGATGTCGCCCCGATACTTCAGTATACAATTCACTGATATCAGCTCATCTCCATTCCAGGGACAAAGCGAAAGCTCTGGCAAAGGCACTCGGCTACTTCGAGAGGATGAAAGGCTTGGAGAGGTGCCAGCCGAATGTAGTTACCTACAACATCCTCTTGCGAGCGTGTGCTCAAGCTCGAGAGGTGGATCAAGTCAATGCATTGTTGAAAGAGCTTGAGAGCAGCAATGTGTCGCCTGATGTTTATACGTATAATGGCGTTATGGATGCATACGGCAAGAACGGGATGATTTCTGAGATGGAATCTTTGCTTGCGTTGATGAAGAGCGATCGGTGTAAACCCGACATTATAACCTTCAATCTTCTGATAGATTCATATGGCAGGAAGCAGCAGTTTGCTAAGATGTAGCAGGTTTTCAAGAGCTTGTTGAGTCATCCCAAGGAGAAACCGACTCTCCCCACTTTCAACTCGATGATCACGAGCTATGGGAAAGCGAGGCAGAGGGAAAGAGCAGAATCTGTGTTCGAGAAGATGACTGTTGAGATGAAGTACACGCCTAGCTTCATCACCTTTGAGAGTATGATCACTATGTACGGGTTTTGTGATTGCATGTCTAATGCTCGGGAGATATTCGATTCGATGGTTGGGTCAGGGAAGGAGATTAGGGTGTCAACGTTGAATGCAATGCTCAGTGTTTACTGCATGAATAAGTTGCACAGTGAAGCACAGTTGCTTCTCGAGAATGTCGGCGGGCTTGGGGTGAGACCGGATTCTTCAACGTATAAGCTTCTTTATAAGGCATACACTAAAGCTAATCAGAAAGAGCTGGTGGAGAGATTGCTGAAGAGAATGGAGAGAGATGGTGTTGTCCCAAATAAGAAGTTTTTCCTGGATGCTTTGGGAAGCTCCAAGTCTTCGGCAGAAGGTTCAGAGTCTAATAGGAGATCGACAAATTCGCAGAATGCTACAAAGAGTCTGAAGACAGCAGCAAGCCCCTACTTTAGCAAGCTTGCTTCAAGTCCAAGGAAAGCCATTCACCCACGAAAGGAGGACAAGAAAGAGATCGAAGATATTGATATTGTGGTTTAGGTGATGGATGCCAAACTGCTATGCTAGAGTAACTAGTCAAGCTAGGTGTTGCTTGCTTCAGCAGTTATCAACTCTTGGATTCAAGACCAAAGCGTTGCTGCTATAACTTGTACCGGTTAAGCTCGCTGATTAAGAGCAGGCAGGCTGACGACAAAACTTGAGCTCTTCACTCCACGTTTATCGAGTGATGGCTTTGTGGCAGCTCGTGAGCTTTTGTTATTTTATAGAGCGGTGAAGTAGGTTCTTTTGTTGTAGTCGAGCAAATTGCAATTCTGTACATACGATGTAGAACTTGCATAATGAGTGCAACTTGCTTAATACAAGTTCATTAGTCCGAAAGAAAGGACTGCAAGAGGTCGTTGGCAAGAACACCTGCATCGTAGGTTAACTTCCTATGAACTATTCAGACTTTCAGCACTGTGTTTTGAGTCAAGAAAACAGAGAACCAGGTTGTGAAGTCAATAATATAAGGGTTTTCCTTTCATCAGTACAACTCTTTGTAGACCCATCGATGATTCAAAGTTTCAAACTGAACTCCCCAGTTTCAAGCATATCATTTAGCAAGGCCAAATGCCTGAAAGTTTGGTGTTCAAAGGGTTGTTAAGAGAAGGGAAGTGTTGGAGGTGGCTGAATGTGATGATTTCGTTGTAAGCCAGACATTAGGACCTTGATTCTTCTTAACTTAATCGACAAGAAGCAGCAGTTTGATAAAAATCATGAACGACCTACACAGTTGAGCATAATTGCTTCTCCAGACTTGTGAGAAAGATTCAGTGTCGAATAGGAGACCACGGAATTCGCAGAATGTTGTGAAGAGTCTTAAGACAGCAGCCTCATACTGTTTAGCAAGCTTGCGTTAAGCGATAGAAAGAGATCAATTTACAGCAAGAAGTTGATATTGTGGACTAGGAGATGGATACAATAGGTCTTTTTCCCAATGTTATTGATATGCTAGAATCAAGCTGTCAAGTTCAGGTGTTAATAGCTTGAGAAGTTACCAACATCAACATTCAAAACCAAGAGAAAATGCAGTTACACAGGTGAAGCTGGCTGATGAAGAAGCAGGACGAACTCGAGATCCTTCGTGTTAACAGAGATAAACAGATTTATGACTCGAGCTTCCTTAGCGTTACAGAGATCAATTGTAATTTCTGTACATATAGCCTAGAAACTTGAGATTGCACAGCATTCTTAGCTCCAAACATCGAAATACACTTGCAGTAGTAGTTCAGTCCTCTTCAGATTCTGCAATCAGAGATCCAGACATCAAGACGAAGAAAGAGGGGTTTTATGAACTATTAAAATAGAAGAAGCTGGAAGCCAATGGTATGTGATGCTATGCAATCCACCACTGTAAGACAAAGACCTTAATTCTGTTCAATGCCCTAAGGCCACTTGTTTAATAAGCACAGGTTAGTTAGCTTAGTTGAAGGGGTTATTGTTTGAATAACTTGGATACCTCGTATTGCTTCCATGTTGTCTTCTTTGTAGACCCCAAGGGGCGAGCCACGAACCGAGAGAAGCATTTCACCATGCTTAGGCAGTCTTAAGGTTTTGGGTGTCATCCCCACAGAGAGTCTCTGACTGGTAGCCTGTAGCAATTACAGATGTTCCTTTGAACTTCAAGAAAGCTTGAAATCAATTAACACACATGGCTGAATAACCTAGAAACTGCTGGAAAGCACAGTGCTTTCAAGTCCTAAAATTTACTACATCAAGAGAATATTCCAAAGAGCTCATAATTCTCTAAACATCGAGAATAAAGCATTGTTAGATATTTGGGGTGAATCTAATCACCAGCAAGAACTATCCTCAACCAGACAAAAGAAAAGAAGATCACAAAGAGTAAATATGACAGATTTTAGGTAAATTGAGGCTTCTCTGGTAAACTTCAACAAACTAGCCTTATGATCTTCCCTTCCAAAATACAATAGTTAATACTTTCCAACAGGCATTTTCAATTCCTATCGGTTGCTAAATCTACAAGATATCAGCACGAACGTACTATTATGCATCCCCAGACATTTCTGGAGAATGCTAAACATGAACCCATGTATAGAAATATTGAACTACATGCCAGACATTGTGCCCATCATGGACAATACAGAAAGAACAAAAGGGAACAAAGAAAGAAGATACAAACCCCTGGTGTTTGGAGACCATCTTGCATCGAGAGCATATTGAAATTGGATTGACCCTCCAAGATCTACCCAAAAATAAACATCAATGTCAGTGTGAGTTTCAGGGTGTTTATCATCCATCTTCAATGTTCTAGACTAAGTCATGCCATGCTTAGGATAACACAAGGATTTCAGTGAGTGAATCACTGAACGAAGTTGCACCCATTCCCTTCCACCTCCCAAACTATGGTATTGAAACAGTAAAATGGTGAATATTAACTGTAGGCATTGCAAAAAAACTTACAAAGTCGTCCATCTGCATGCTATCATTACCAAATACACTTTTTGTCACTGCCATTCAACAAAAAGAACCACGTCAGATACAATCAATCTAAACGCAAAACCAAATTGAAGGAACTTGCATAGCATACTCCATTCATTCATTCAAAAGAAAGGACTGCAAAAAGTGGCATTACCTGTATGGCTAGGTAACTCAAAAGCACCAAGAGATGGAACATCAGAGCAGCTAGGATACGCCATGGACAAACCCCGGAGAAGAGAATCATGTACGTCTTCTCCACCAGCTACTTGGGGCAGAGAAGAATCATCACCTTTGTCTTTCCATTGGAGTTCAAACTGACCGGCTTCGCTGCTCTTTACTATTGACAGGTTCGGGAAATTCTCCTTGAAAATCTCAAGCACAGGGGTATCCAGTTGCTCCTCAGTGAAATTCGAACGTAGCAGACGCAAAGCAGTTAGCGAATGTTCTATCTCCATGTCACGTATTGCCCTAATTGCTGCAACCTGCCGCTCAACTTCATGAAAGAAGAAAGAAAAAAAAAGCCACGCTTTAGAGAGGTATTAATTTGGCAGTTTATAAACAAAGCCATTCCAATCCCTGTTCCTTCAATAGACACCCGGAGCATTTCAATTGCAGTAGAAATCTCGTAAAATGCTCTCTTCTAAATCAAATCCGAATCGAAAGCAAACTCTTAATTCCAGTAGCTAACAGCTCTCCGTCATAAAAATAGCAGAACTACTAACTTCACAAACGCCAAAACCAAGGGAGGGAAGCGAATTTTCTAACCTTCCAGGATAATCGACGACTCTGGCTTCCTCTCTTCAGCTCGCGGCAGCGCACTTTCGTTGCCGCCATCAGGTTCTTGCGGCGGCGGCACAGCTTTCTTCACATTCCTCTTAGCTTTCCGCTTCGGCATTTTCGACAAGAGATGAAGCGACGAGGAGAGAGAGAGAGAGATTTCGAATCGGTTCCGCGTAGGGAGAGAGAGAAGAAACCCTAATTCGCGAAACAGACAATGGCAGCAACAACGGAATGACGAGCGGACGAATTCCCGGAACTGAGAATTCGATTGTTCCGGCACCGAATCGGCCACCGAGGAGAAGCTGAGGATGAGAGGAGAAGACGGCGAAGATGGAGAGCACTGAGTTGCTACTGAGTCGCGCTGACCATTTTTTTTTTTCCAGTTCGAGTAGTTTTGTCTGTTTGAACTTTGAATTTGAAGCGCCAATTCTTTCCCAAATCAGCCCAACTGTACTTCTGGCTTCTGGGGAGATAAAGTTTGAATCCGACGCTTGACTTTACTGGTTTGGTCGTTCTAGCACATAAACTTTGCAATTTAGTCATTACGGTACATAGAATGGTAAAGTATGGTTTGGTTTGGTTTGGTTTCTCTAATTGTTGTATTTCCCTTTGAAAGTCTGTAGCAGCAAAGTAGCAAAGCTAGCCAAAGAAAAAGCTCTTGCTTGTATTTCCATTTAAAAGTGTAGTGGGTATGTGATTGTCGAATAGATGTCTTATGAATATACAGATGTCAAATAGTAGAAGTGCTCAAAGAAATATTATCTATAAATACCAATAAACCCTTAACAGTTTTGGTTCCGTTTAAAAACTGAAAATCATTAACAAAAACAATAAAAATCGATAAGTCTTATCACAAATGAAGGTTCTTTTTTAGTTTATTCTGACCGAAACCATCAAGGGTTTGTACGTTTCAGTTCTTTTAACCGTGTCAATTTCGATTTTGAAGAATTGGTGAATTCGGGTCCTAATTTCTAATGGTTTTATGTTTGATTTAACCGAACCACCACTCCTACTGATTACCCAAAACATCAATCAGGACAGAGTCTTCTGGTTAAACTGAGACCATCAAGCTCCTGGTCTGCTACAAGATTCTACAGGAAAGTAGTTCAAAGCAGGAAAAACCACAAAGGCTTCCATTTGTTAATCCTGGCCAGGTCTCAATAGTTTAGTCAATTTAGCCAATACAACCAAACAACAAGACATCTCAGTCCCAGTCTCAGTCTCAGTCTCAGTCGTACTCAGTGTTTAGAAGAACGGAAAAAACAGAGCATCCAACATATCAGCCGGCTAGCCAACTAATCGAACTAGCCAACCAATCGAACACAGTTCGACGACTGTGCTATGGTACAGAGAAGCGCGAACGAGGAAGTCTCCGAACCTTAGAGCAAAACACCTGATGAAGAACAGTTTCTACCATGAGAGCCTATTCCAAGCCAATGTTTGAGAAGAGAAGTTGGCATGGGTTACAATTACTTGTCAGCCAAGGAAAGTTTCTGATGAGAAGACCTGCCAATTCGTGTTGATTCAGAGCCAACGATATTTTTACCAGTAGACCGGTTCGATCTCTAGTGTGATTTCCCTGTTCAAAACATGCACTCTCTACTTCGTTGCTTGCTCTTGTGCGTTCCTCTGGCGCAAAAGGAAGGCAAGCAAGTTAAGCAGTCCAGGAAGGAAGTGGAAGTGGTGGTAACGCTGCTCTGCCTTCTGAGTCTGTATGGAGCAAAACGCAGAAAGCTGATGTAGAGGAAATCGGCAATGAAATTTTGTTAAATGAATATCGATTAAAAGAGGTGGATACCTGGTAGTACAGCTGGAACTGAAACCGCTACTACTACAACTGCTGCTTCTGCTGGTAGTTCTAGAGCTTCCGCATCTGTTGCTGCTGCTTCTGACGGCACAGCCTTCTTTCAACGACGAAGATTTCAGGTTCGTTTTCCAGCTGCTGCGAGTAGACGGACTGAACATCTTGATCAAGAAGGTTCCTTTGTCGACGCTATAGTTCCTCGGGACAACAAATGGCTTGATGGCCGCGTTCTTCTTCTGCTGCTGCATACTGTTGTTTCTCCTGCTGCTCTGCTTTTCCGTCGCAAAATGAAAGCTTCCACCTTTAACGACCCCCACATGATCCCCTTCTGTTATTGCTCGAGACGGGGAAACATTCCATTCGTTCACGATGTCTTTGAGGGAGAGTTCGAGATTGGAGTCCGGCATATCTCCGGCGAGCTCCATCAGCTGCTTCCTGCCTTGGGCTATGGCCTGCAAATTAGACAAGCTGCTCCGTGCCGGGTGCTTCTGCAAAGGGAAACATAACTCTGCTTCCAGCTCTTCATAGTGGTGGTCGTCATCAACTTCTTCTTCTTCGTCTCCATGGCTTCCTCGACTCAGGAAGCTCCTCAAAGAGCGGTTTGTTTCGGCTGTAGCCCAGAAATCGAATTCCGGATTTTCCCTGCGAAGATAAGCTTCGTTGTATGGAGGGTAAGATGAGCAGAGAGAAGAGAGGTGTGTGCGGGTGGCAGTAGAAGCAAGCATGGTGATGTATTTGATATTGTTTGAGAGAGAGAGAGAGAGAGGAGAGAGCAGAAGGCGTTGCTTACCATTGTGGTTCACCTTTCAAGACCCTTTTTAAGTATGATACTGCAAGGATTGGAACCGGGCCTGCATCATTCAGACACCAGATTCGGTAAATGATCCGGTCCGGTTTATTGCCCATCCATGGCAACTCTGTCAATAGAGACATTGCCGTTTTGTAAAGACGACATGGCTACACGGCTAGAGAACAAAAGTGAATATAGAATAAGCATTACATTAAGAAAAAAGATTGGAACATTTTAATGCTCCTAACTGTACATGCATTAAGTAATTAATGGTCCTTTTCTATTTTCCTCGATAGAATTCTGAGTCAACAATCTAGTTGCTCATATGGGCTATGGCCACATTATATTTATTTCTAGTCTAGCTGCTGCTGTCATTTGCCTGGCTTAATCATCACTACTCTTTGCCTAATTTCTGGATCTTTCTCCCAACTTCCAACCCAAGAAGGTTAACTCATGCCCTAGTTAAACTGAAAACCAAAAACCCATTTAAGGAACTAGCTTTGGTCCCGGCCATTGGCCGGGTGAATTTCATTTGAATATTTGATTAATTTAAAAGAAAAGAAATTTTGTTCACTCTCATTAATCTTATGAATATATAACCCTTGTATTAAATAACTTGTTGTCATACTTAATTATTTTTATACATTTTAAATAATATTTTTTATTTATTTAAGACCCGAATGTATGATTTGAGAGGTTGACTCGTACATGCAAAGTTAATTCTGTTCCTACAGAGACACCTAGGAAATTGGAACGATATAAGATAATTTTCAAGTGAAAACATTCAATTCGGAATTGAGAGATATTAACTCTTGGGCCTTGGCTAAATGTATAGCATAATCTTACAAAATTTCAAAGTTTGTCACTATACTCATTACGTTTCATTCATCCAATTTTGAATCATGTGGGGACAAAAAATTTACTAAAAAAATTATTTTCAAATGGGGTTTTATGAAGTCTCGGTGCATAATCTATATGAAAATTTGTCTAAAAACCATTCAAAATAAATATCTAAATAGTATATATCATTCCGTTACTTCCTATATTTAGACTACATGCAACTAATGTCTACAATATTTGAACTGAGTCTCACACAAAATACTCAAAATTATTAATATTATGCAATATATACTACAAATTGCTAGTGCATAAGAAATATAACTAAATTTATTTTTAATTTTTTGTTCGCATTTTAAATTTCCTTTGTTATAATTAACACCGTGTCAATTATGTATAATTGAAATATGAAATATATACAACAACACTTTTTTTAGATGGTAAGTGGTAACAAACATAACTGTGATATCTAAAAGACAAACAAATGCATTTAAGAAAAAGAAAACATTCAAAGGAAAAAAAGTGAAAGAAAATTAACGGTTCAGTAAAATTGTAAAAAAGGAAAACAGGAACCGAAAAATTCGGGGAAGAGTTCACGGAGGGATATTTTTTTTTGGTTGGGTTTTTTTGTTAAAAGGAATTTGATTGGTTGATAGATTATGATGACGTGGATGAATGAGGGAACACGGAATTTGAATTTGTGAAGTCCTTAATGAGAAACCCTTTAATATATTCTTTAGATTCATAGATGAGACTGTAACAAAACCATTAAGCTAAAGGTCGTAAAAAACAACCCAATACCCTAACAGTTACCAGAAACAGCAAAACCGAATCGAGCTTGATGGCCAAGATCTCCGTGGTTTTTGCGTGAATTCGCTAAGATGTAACTAGTTCATCATATGTTTTAATGATTTTTCTTACATAAATAAAAAGTAATTTGCGGTTCTCGGTTGTGTTCCCAGTCCGTTTGGTGAAAACCAACAACCGGGTATCATATACTCGAACCAGAACCGTCGTTTACACTGAACCAGGAACAAGTCCATTTTACCGGTTAGCCAAAAGACCAGAACCGGTTAGACAATTCTAACCTAGACTAAATGCTTTGGATCAACCACCCATACAAGTTTCCAATATAAAAAACATGCATGGTTCTGATAATACTCATACAAATCACAAAAATTATTCATGTCCCCAAATCAGACAATATAGCTCTACTGTTTCTAAAAGAGAGAGAAAGTAATTATTTTAAACCAATCATTGCAGCAAGTTAAACTGCATCACCCCCAATAACTAGAGGACAAATCAACCTAGAGCTTTCACTCCAATGAATTCAAAACAAGGTAACATCAACAAGAATTTGTCGATTGGATGATTCATTATGTCATGGCCGAACATACATTTTGGATAGACTGATGCAATATCCGGCATTACGTGATGACCTGATCTGATTAGTTTAAGTTCTAAATTATTAAGTTGCTCGTTGCCGTGTAATAATAATAGAAAAAATTAGTTAACTACCCATGGCAGAGAAGAAGCTCTAATTATACAAAGCATAAAGATCAACCGGCAACGTTGTTCTTCACTTGTTTGTTTGTTTGTCATATTATAAAACATTAGATTAACTCCGGCACATTTTTTTTTCTTGGCGTGGAATGTCAGTTTAGTTTGGAGACTCGGAACAGTTAAGCTATTGGTTCTATAAAACAAAGTGTCATCGCGGTCAGAACAAAGCTCTTCTTCCGGGAACTTTCGGTAATATAATTTCTCTAGATATATGTCTCCATTTATAAGAAACTACTACGTATACAATGAACTTCTTAGTTGAATTTGGATATTCTGTTGAATAGGGTAGACGTAAACATCATACTTATGACTCCTTAGGGTTGTGGTGCATGCAGGACATAAAGAGTGGTTGTGTGATGTCTTCGTATTAATGTTAAATGTTGCATTTAAATTATGATGATTTGTCATTTTGTTTGTAATGTAATATTTTATTTAAATATAGATGGAGCTTATAGATATATTGTCTTAGATTTATATAAATGACAATCCATTTTGTGTTAATGCTTTCCTACTTTGTCCTATACTTTGTTAAAACTTAAAACTGGCATATAAACTGGTTGTATCATGGCGTAACAGTAGAAACCGCTTTGACAACCTTCATATATACCTAATGCATCCATTTACCTTGCCAAATATACTAATAACCCATTAGCCTAACCAAGGTATTGTCAAAACGGGGCCCTAGTAATTAGCAACTTTGGCTCAGCACAGCATGCACTTGACACAAAAGATCACGGGTATATTTTCAAGGTAGAAAGTTTGGGTCATTTTGCTGGAATTCCTAACCTTTGCCGTGTGCTAAAAGTAGAACCAGAGAATTGTCAACAAGTTTTAGTTAGAAAGCAAGATAGGCTGGAGAGCTGATCTTTTATGTGGTTTAAAAGGTCTTTCAAATCGAGAGGTATAGCCCCACTGTTGACTTTGATTGCCTACTTTGGAATCAACAAAGCTCGAGGAAAAGGACCTCCTAAGGTTCTAGGTGTACGGCCCAGGATGCTCTCGAGTCTCGTCGTAGTTATTTCCGTTTACGTATAATCATCCATCAGTGTCACTTGAAAGGCATTTTAGATTTCATTCAGTCAATAGGGAAACATTCAACATGATGATGAAGAAGGAACACATAGAGTTGGGGTAGAAATTAGAGATGATTTTAAGGTAATCAGCCAAGATGTAGAGTATGTACCTTGAGTTTTAAAGCTTTGTTGCAAAGTAGCATGAGCAGCAGACCTTGTAGTGCAAAACTGCATAAAGTTCTTAAAACTGTGGATACTCTCTGCATTCTGAACGCTCACAAGACTTGAATTGGCCACTGTTAATATCATGGAGACATGGTGGTTCACCAAGATTCTGAAACAAGCTATTCTCAGCAGAGAAATGCACCTCAATCAGGGTTTAGAAGCCTTCCATGATCTGACTTTGTATAAGTGGTCAATTTAACTTGTTTCTGTAGAACCACATCTGCAGTGCCAGAAATCTATGCTTCAGATATCTATTCTGGAGATTCATAAAGAGCAACAGTAGCATGAACAATTGTGAATAGAACGCAAGAAGAAGAACTATTGCTAAAAAACGAAAAAGAAGAATGACAATGAGGCCACTGTAGCTGCTGATGTAGCTCTTAAGCACTATAATTTGAGCAAATACCTGAAATAAGGGTCAGAAAGATACCATCATTACCTCCATAGTCAAAGATACACAAACATCAGAGGGATCACCAATGGAGACACAAATACTTCAGCTCATGCACCTTCAGAAAAGAGGCATGATATTGACGATGTCCAATATTCCTAGCAACTTCCCTTTTCTCATCCAATGCACCGATATTAACCATCTAAATTTTGCAATGATAAGAGGTAGATTGCAAGTTTTCTTCCTGGAAGGAAAACTGAACATGTCAAAAAACAAGCTCCTCCTGTATCGCATGAAAAAGTTCATAAGTACTACTCAAGATTGCTGCAAACAAAAGCATAACTGGATACAGGAAGGGTGGTTCAAGATGTGTTATATCAACCTGTTCATGAGTCCAGATTGGCTGAGCTGGCTGCATAGCATGAATGTCATCCGCCGTATTTCTTCTGCGGATAGAGAAGAGACAGCCTACAAAACTACAGCATCATCTCCTCCTACAAAATAACAGTCACTTGTACAATGACGGTATCCAGCTCCCATCATATGATCAAGAAGTTGAGAAATCACTTGATATATTTCCCCTCTCTGATTGTGAGCTTTATCCTTGGCCACAAACTCATGCCTCTCATTCCTCACCTCAATCCAACTATAAGCTACATCTTTCACTATACCTTTTTCCTCTGCCGCCCTCCTTACTCTACAAGCATCACTCCATTTATTAGCTGCTATATAAATATTATTTAACATGACATATCGTGCAGCATTACTCGGTTCCAAGCGAAACAGAGTTTCTGCAGCTTTCATGGCAAGATCAACATTGGGATGGATCCGGCAAGCACCTAATAGAGCACCCCACATCCCCACATGGTTTGTCAGACCAGGTGATTTTCCAATTAATTCAATTGCTTCACTCAGTCTGTTTTTCCTACCTAATAAATCAATCAAGACTGCATAGTGTTCCGATCTTGGGCTAATACCATAATCCTTCTCCATCTGTTCCGGAATCTGAAGGGCTTCAGCGAGTGATCCTGTATGACTACAAGCTGATAACACTCCGAGAAATGTAACATGATTAGGCCTTGCCTTGCCCTGAACCATCTCTCTGAAAACACTGAGTGATTCATCTGCAAGTCCATTTTGTGCAAACCCTGTAATCATTGAGTTCCAGGACACAACATCCTTCTCAATCATTCCTTCAAACAAAGACTTAGAAGATCTCATATCTCCACATTTGCAGTACATGTCCATTAACGCATTGTTTACATACATGCTACCAAAATGTTCTCGGTTGCAAAACTTAAATAAGTGCCCATGAATCTGTTTGCCTCCTTCCAGAAGTGCTAAATCTGCACATGTGCCCAAAAGAGTAACAAAAGTAAAAGCATTTGGCACCACCCCTTCCTCCAGCATTTGCTTAAATAGTTCCAATGTACTGTAGTTCTGGCCATTTTGTGCAAAACCAGCCATCAAGCTAGTCCAAGCAACAGTATTCCTATCAGGCATCTGCTCAAAAATTCTCATCGCATCATCCAGTCTGGACGATCGAGCATATGCAGCCACCATCGAAGTCCATGACACAATATCCCTCTCATTCTTTCTGCTAAATATACGATAACTGGTCTCGGGTTCCCCACACTTCCCATACCCATCAATCAGAACATTGGAAACAATCTCATTCACTCCCAAACCAACAACCAAAGCCACCGTATGCAATTGACGAACCAATCCCAACCCACCCAAGCACCCACAACAACTCACCACACTGACAACAGTATACTCATCCAAACAAAACCCACCAACGCAATCTTCCTGCAATTCCCGGAACACACTCAACGCCTCCACATAATACCCACGACGTGAAAGACCCGAAATCAACGAGTTATAACTGACCAGGTTTGGTTCAGGCATTTGATCGAACAAGTTGCGGGCTGTCTCGACCATACCCATTTTCCAGCATGCGGAGACGATGGTGTTCCACGAACGAGCGTTCTTGAATGGAAGATCCTCGAAGGCCTTCTCGGCTGACTCGATGGAGCTGCATTTGGCGTACATGTCGATCAGACGGTTGACGATGAAAGGGTTCAAGTTGAGCGCCCTTTTGACGAGGTTTGAGTGAAGCGCCGCCCCCAGCTTCAGGTTCCTGGCCGTGATGCATCTCGAGAGGAAGCTCCCGCATTCGTCGGTTATAGCGGCAAGACCGATTGATTTCATCACAACCGGGTGTGAAAAGCAAAAAAACAATCGGTGCAGGTTGTGGTTTTTTTTTTATTGGCGGGCAAATTTCTTTTCCATGCTTCATTCATATGCTAAACTGTTAGACTGTTGAGCGCGAGCCGCGAAGGGTCTAATTGAAGAACTGAATCGCTATTCGGCGCCCTAAAATTTAAATTTTATCGCCCTAAATCTCAACAAATTGACATATTTATCCCTCATTCCAATTTCAATTCTAACCCTAATCAAACAATCCCTTCCTCGCCCGCATCCCACATCCGCCGCACTCACCAGAAAAAGAATCGTCCCCTCCCCTACTCCTTGCCCAACCCCAATCCCAATTTGCTGCCGCTGCTACTCGAGCGCCGGCGAGAAGGAGGAAGAAGAATCAAGCCGGCTGCCGCTGCTGCTACTCGATATATGTGATCATTGTTTTTTCCCAAAAAAAAAAAATTTGTGTGATTGTGCACTTATTGAGATAATTGTGTTATTATGAACTTTTAGTTCTTCCGTTATGAAGTCTTTACTGCTGCTCACTAGCTGCTGCAATTTTTCGTTGAAAGCAAGTCATATTTGTAAATGAAGGTCAATAATCGAAACAATGCAGTTTGTTTCTTTCCTTGTATTTTGTTATTTAGTGTAGTATATGAGTATGCTTTGGAGTTTAAGCGTTTGAAAGAAAAATAAATGAACTAAGGGCATTTAAGTACATTCAATTTAATTAGGGCGACGAATAAGGAATTTTAGGGCGACAAATAGCAATGTCCAAGAACTTGAAGAATTAGAATCCGAATCAGTTATTCTTTTGTAAATTTAAAGTTTAGTTCTCCAACTTTTACGAGTGTACAAAATAGTCACCAAAATTCTTTAACTTGTTCAGTAATTAGTCCCCAAAAGGCCCAAATTAATATTTTATTGGGTACAAAGGTACCCGGAGATAATAATATCCACTTCATGGTCCCCATACTTGTATGACGTCTAGATACTACACTGTAAATCTGTAATACTTATTTTAACCGTTATTTTATAGCGGTTTGGTGGGTGGGTGTGAAATGGTGGAGGAAGGAAGTAGAGTAGGGATGACAACAAAACCCGAACCCACGGGTACCCATCCAACCCAACCCGGTCAACGTCGATAAAATCCGTGTTGACGGGTTTTGGGCCGGGTTCGGGTTTAAACCCGTTACACTATTCACCGGGTCGGGTTGGGTTTGGGTTTAAGTAAACCCGACCCATGGGTACCCGCCCACACACATATAATTACTTTCTCGGTATATTTAATATTCTAAATAATATATTTTCCTTAAACAATTAATATTATGTATGTTTGTGGAGACATGTATAACTTGTTCTTTCTAATTGTTTAGAATTAAGTTGATATTATGAAGTGGAGAGTGAAGAAACTTAGTTGACAAGGAAGAAGCTTTCAATTAATCTTTTGTTTATAGATGTTTATCTTTAATTTTGAACAATTTGTATTGATCATTTGCGGTTTGCTTGTATGCTCTAGATTGGTGTTTTTTGGTATGATTAATTTGTATGAGAAAATTGATGTTAAACTTTTATTTTGAAAGAAACTTGTTATTGTAAATTTTTTACCACAAAAACCCACGGGTACCCATGAACCCGCGGATACCCAGCGGGTTGGGTTGGGTTTGAGTTTTTCAAACCCAACGGGTTTTACCCCTGATTTTTTTGGCGGATAAACCCATGGGTTTGGGTTTGGGTTTGACAAAACCCGCCCCAACCCGACCCATTGCCATCCCTAAAGTAGAGAGAAGTGGTCTGGTGGAGGAGATAAGGTGTGAGATGAGTGGTGCAGAATTTTTAAATTTTTTATTTATTTAGAAAAGCTAGTTTTCAGGTTGGCCAGCTAACCGAGGCTAAAACCGAAACCGACCGGTCGGTTTGGCCGGCTAACCGTGACCTCTCACGGTCGGTGGTCGGCAGCTATAAGGGGTGGCTCGGTTTAACCGATAACCGAGTTTTTGGTTTTCGGTTAAACCGAAACCGACCGACTGCCGCCCCTCATATCAATCTTTATATTTTATGAGTCTAAAAGGGATGAACGTTTAATTTTCCCAAAATTGGATAATTTCCTTGTCTTGTTTAAATAAAGGTTTATTTCATAAAATGAACATCATGAAATCCATTAATATTTTTATCTTTGGACAAAATTTTAACATATCTTATGACATAGTAATAAATATTGATGATAAGAACATGTGAAATAGTAAATCTACATTTCGGCAGATTTAATATTCACATGCGAACCAAATAATCATAACACTAGGTGCGCGGAGATGAAACCTTAAATATTCACCTACCTTTGGGCTAGTAAATACACGAGCTAAATATTTGCAATATAGGGATTAAGATTATCAAACCGAGCCCCAACATTGGTTTACTAAAAAGAGGCTTATATTCCTAGAAAAAAAATATTGTTGTCCAAAATTTGCATAAAGTCGGTAGTAGGGATGGCAAAAATATCCGTAACCGTGGATATCCGCCCGAATCCGGCCTAATCGGGTAGGGTAAAACCCGAACCCGAAGGACATTTAGTGGGTATGGGTAAAACCCGAACCCGAATATTGCGGGTAATGGGTGGGCATGAGTTTCACACTATCCAACCCGAACCCGCCCGATTATACACATGCACATGTATTTTATCTAGAAATAATCATTATTTTTCTCTAACATATTTTATATTTATCATATAAATATAATATTTTCATGAAATTGTGTTGTTTTAATTAATTTTCTTAATTCTCGTGAAGTATTGTCGTACTTTTCCTCTTACGTAATGTGAGAATACGTATGAATGTTAACATATTGGTTGGAATTATGAAGAGAAATTATTACCCATGGATAACCGTGGATATCCGAAACCCGAACGGGTATGGGCATGGTTTTGATTTTCTACCCGTTTCACATGTGGGTATGGGCATGGGTAAAACCCGAACTACTTTGGGTAGGGTAACGGATATGCACTATCCGTCCCCGACCCGACCCATTGCCATCCCTAGTCGGTAGTAGGGGTTCCCCATCTACTGAAGTCTTCCTTCATTTGCCAATTATGTGGTGCAGTAAACGTGCATCCTATCCTTGAGAAGAGGTGAGCGTGAGCCATTCGCCACCTTTGGCTTCTTCCAGTTACCAGATTGTTCAACTCCTTGCCATTCTTCTATTAGTTAGTTGAGAAAAATAAAACCAACCACAACAAAGAAAAGAGAAGGGAAATGTGATTAGATACCAAGCCACAACGAGAAATATAAGGAGAACAAATTTAGTGGGGTTCCTCTCTGTCGCTCTCTCTGCAGATTGCAACTACCTTGACACATTCCTAGTTGTTTTCGTTAGACCACTCTGCAAGTGCAAGGAAAGACGCAAAGAAGAAGGTAGATTCTCACAAGTACAAGTATAAGTACCAGTTATTGAGGGGGCTATTGGTTCATTGCTCTGAGTCTGAACCCAATAGTTGTAGCTTCCATTGTAGCGTAGGTGGTAACTCTCAGCTTCTGGTACCTTGGAATCGGAGTAGGCCAGCAAGAGGCCATAGGCTGGAACACACCCTCCAACCGGTAAAAATCGCAGGACACACGACAATCCCTACCACCACCAGCAATTAGAGCAAAGAAGACAGTTTGCGGCTTCTCTGGATGTAGAGTAGGAAACAAAATGGACTCCAGTCTGTACTCACCCTTTGGCTTCACCGACCCCTCACACACCTTCCTCCAAAAGTTACTACTGCCTTCATTTAGCCTCCACTCCACACACTCAAGACAATCCTCGAACTAGCAGGCTTAGTGCCGTCCTCAAACGTACACAATCAAGTGCAGAGCACCTTGCGAAACCGAGATGTTCCACCACCACCATTTCTCAAGGATTGGGGAAACATCAATAGGAGTGGGAGGTATGGTATATCAAGGCGGAAAGGATTAAAACCAGTAATGAAAGGCTTAGGCAAGCCAACATATCTGTCTTGTGTTCTAAGATAGGGCACATATAAAAGCCCCATTGCATGAACCAACATCAATCATTCGGTGTCTGCGACAACCTTGAAGAACGAGAGCCTCCTTGTTCCATTTTCCAGAGTCGGAAGAGAACACATCTAGCTTCATGGAATTCCTATCTTGATAAATACAGACCACGCGGAACCGATACTCATAGCCACCTCCTAGATCAAGACTATCAGAAATTAAGGGTTCGCAAACTAACCTTGCACACAATTCCGTAAGCCCCACGGGTCTTTCGGGGGCCAAAGGGAGAGCGATCCATTGCTTCGTGAAAGGATTGCAGATCAAGTACGATCTGGCAAGTTCAGCATTACTATGGCGGTCACCTACTTCCCCCAACCCGCATAAAAGCAAGTCCTTGAAACAATCGAAAACTGCGAAAAGCAGTGAACGGTAGCCTCCCTCTTCAACGGGTGTGGTGTGGGGAGAAATCTCAGGACGACCGATTCCCTGTCATCTGAGAGAAGAAGAAGTTGAGGAGGAGCTGGTTTGTTCATGCGCTGGTGGTGAGAAAGGAAACGACGACTGAAGCAGGGATCAGAAATCAGGGATCTCCACAGCTTGCAGACGACTTTGCTCTGGCAGGCAGATCTAGGATTCGGGAGGCGAATCAGAATTTCGGCGAGGAGATCGTTTCCGAGTTTGCTGATCATCGGAGAACGAGGATTTACCTCTGAACGGGACCGTCTCTTTCTGCAGCCGCGAGGAGGTAAAAAAGCCAGTTGATCCAAAACCGTGGTGCTGTTCTCAGTCGCCAGCGCGGTAGACAAACAGGCGGGTGCAAGATAGCGCCACCGGAGGAGTAAGGGTTAGAAATCCCTAATTTCCTAGAGCCTAAGCCATGTTGTAAAAAAAAAAAAAAAAACCTAAGCATCGTTTCACCGTTAATCATCGGCCGTCTTATTGATGTGCTTGACTGTCAATATTAACGGTCAAAGAAATTTATAGGCCAAATTTGTTCAATAATTTGGAAAGTAGGCCAAAAATGTCTTATTAGAAAATTTGGGCCAAAACTGACACTTACGCTAATTTCGGGCTAAACTAGGGTATTATCCCTTTTTCTTTCACCATTAACAATTAACATCATCTATAAAGTATAAAATATATTACTAGCTTAATCTGTATCGGTTGGTATCAATTTTACTCCATTAAGTTGATAACTCGCTTTGATACCAACTAATATTAAATTGGTATGATTTTGTTAAATATATTACAACTAAATAATATGATATTGGTATTTGGTGGAACCATGTTTGTATTGTACGACTAAATCCTATTTTGTTAAGTTGTTCGGTACAATCTTCAATGAGGTTTTACATAGTATGAGTTGAGTTTCATTATTCAAATTTATCTATTTAACTAGTTTTTTACCAGGCCCGTTGGCCGGACAGATTTATTTTATAATTTATATTAATTAACTTATTTATATGTTTAAATCATTTTGGACGCTTGAATGCAGACAGACAGAAAGATCATACCGTTCAGGGGCGGATACATGGGCCTCTAGGGGTGTCCCGGGACACCCCTAAAATTTGGGGAAACGATTATCCAACATTCGGTAGTAGTTTCGTATGGTATACAAAATATAATTGGTAATCCGGGACACCCTAACATTTGAAAAAATGATTATCCTACCCTCGATAATAGTTTGCTTATGATTAACAAAATATAAGTGGTAGTCCGTGTCAACCTAGGACACTACTATTTTCAAACATATTCTAATTATGTTGCTACTCATTTGTTATTCTATTTTAAACATCATGCAACAGCAAAACACTATTTCTTTATCCCCAACTATTTTCAATACCTAATAATTAAACTACGTACACGCTACCCTTAATTTTGAATTGATTTTATGGTTACACGACAAGTGTTGAAAGAGTCTTTTCTACTTTGAGCTACATTGAGAACAATGTTAGGAATCGAATATGTGATAAGTTCGTGAAGTATTGTCTAGTAGGATATGTAGATTTTTTTTGAACAGTGCAGACACAAAGTTTATTTATATTATTTTTTCAAAATATGAATTTTAATTTATTATTTAATAAAAAATTTATACAAATTATACAAGTATGATATTTTTAATATACGAATTATTTAATTTATTATACAATTAAATTTAATTTTTGAAGTGGACACCCCTGTGAAAATTTTCTGAATCCGCCACTGATACCGTTTGAGGATCTGTCACTGTGCTACCTGAAGAACAGAGGCTTACTCTCGTTTTTACTTCGATTTTTACGTCGACAAGAACATAGGCTTTCTTTCTCTTTTTTGCTCTCGTCGAACCAGAGCAACAGAGACCACCCCTCCCAAAAACAAATATCTCTCTCTTGTCGACGAGAAAGAAGGACATCGGAACAAGGAAAGCGAGGACGACGAAGGAGTCAGGCGACGAGCAACACAGTCGATAACCAGGAGAGCTTCGACGAGAAAGAATCGTCCTTCCTCGAGTTGTGTGTATTTCGGCCGACCTTTCTCGCGTATTAATACCGGTGATGACGATTCTCTGTGTCCTTTTCTTTCTAGGTGTGGGTTTTTCCCTTATCCTCTGTGTCCATCAATTAAGTGTATTCGATCAACAAGGGTTCCTTCCTTTGAGTATATAATGAGGTAGTATATGCTCAGGCTCACCAAATTCAGTATCTTTCCACTTCCTTCTTATCAGTAGTCAACCGCCGCTTCCTGGAGGTGGAAGAGGAGCGAGCATTAGGTTTCTTCTCGAGGAGGTTCCACTGCTCGACTTCTTCTCTGAGCCATGTCGCTTTCGTGAGTGATTGAAGCTTCGTAATCCAGCACTACGGAAAACCTGCAGTCATGCACTTGGTATATGAGCAAAAGGAAGAGTAGCGGCGAATCGACATAGGTTTAGGGAAATTGCAATTCCCATCTATTTAGGGCAAGGTGATCTTAGGTTCGCAATGAAACAACCTTACACATACAGGGGAACTTTCATTTTTCTATTAGAAGGTGCAGGAATATGGATGAAGATTGATACCCCACAATCACAATGTGCAGACTACTCAGACATTAACCATCAACGTTCTCATTAGTAGGATTAGAGTTCTGAGAGGGATCCATTAGTAGCAAATGGAAGATCGACCTTGTCCTTTCACCATTAATCATTGATTTGAAGAAGGAAGAAATTTGTGATTGGATCACAGAGAAGCAAGATCTTACGATCTTAACTATACATAATAATACTCTAAATTAGCATATTATATATGAATATAATCTATTTTACAGCGTTAAAAATACTTCTATCAATAAATAGTTTAGTTTGACAAAGGTGAAGATATATTTAACTACGTTCGAGTTCCTTGGTCTCATCAAATTATCGCAAGCCGCATATGCTTAAGTCAATTTTATTGGTTGTTAGTGGATAATGCGGTTAAGGAGAAGTTTTTAGTTAATAACTAATGAAGGGTATGCTGGTAAATGACATATTTAACTTATTTAATATTTAACCTAATTTGATATTTAAAAGACTAAACGTCAACCCTAATTTCATAACGGCTGCCGGTTAGGGTTTTTGTTTTTTGTTTTTTGTTTTTTACAGTTTCGTCGTCTTCTGCCCAGCGTAAACTTTCAGTGACCGTCCAGCCACTGTCCGGTCATCTTGCCGCCGACGTCTTTCTTCCCTCGAATAAAAAGGCTTGGTAAGGCTGGTTGGGTAAGAGCTGCAAGCCCTTTGTTTGTGGTCTCTCTCTTACGTAGCTTGTTTTTCGTTTATGATACTCACCGTGAAACATATGCAGGATTTGACGTTTGTGGTTTCAGATACCCGCCGCCGGGAAAGAGGGGCGGTCGTCCTTTTTATTATTTCTGACTTGCTTTTTTTGTCAATGGTCTCCAGTTTTGTTGGTCGCTGAACCTCCAGTCCGCCGGTCATCGTGGCCGGAATTTATTTCCTTACGCGGATAGGAAAGGTCAATGCCGGCGTTTAGTATGCTACTGTTTTTGTTTTTATATTTTTGTTTCATAGTTTTTGTTGTTGCACCACTTTCTTGCCAAATCGCCTGCATCCATTGTTAATGTTTTGACAAGAGAAAATGTTGTTATGTCGGTATTTGAGTTAATAATAAGTCTCCAGTTAACTATTAACGATTGTGATTGGAACTATTAATTTTGGTCTTGTGTTATTTACAACAATTATATAATAATTTTCTTCATTATTAACATTTTTTTAATTCCTAGTTATGTCTCTGTTAAATTAGATTATTAACATCTTCTCATGCGTTATCAACATATTTACATCCAACTTCTATTTCTTCAGCAGGATCTTACCCGACTTTACTGTATCATTTTAACCAATTGAATCGAAGAGCAAAAATGACACAATCGGTGGCCGCTTCTTGAGGTACAAAATAGATAATGGACTATCTATTTATGGGTGGCATATTGGATGGTTAAATCGCGGTTTAATATCGATACACTCATAAATAACGAAATCACTGTAAGTGAGTGATTAATATGGGTTGAGTATGGATCGATAAACCTTATATTCGCAATTATTTGGATAGGTGGTGGCGGATTGCGAATCATTCACCCCAGCGCCAATGGCCACCCCAAATCTTCTTACATGACGGATCAGTGGATTTCCCGAAAAAGTCAACGATAATATATTGTGTGCTGAAACCGTAGTTTAATAATGGGTAAACCGTTTCATAATGCTAAAAACTAACATTTTAGCCTCCAATAAAATGTTTTTCCGATTGACCGCCAATATGATTTCACAAACTTTTGTATTCTTTTTTTTTTCTTTTCAATCGTCTTTACGAATACGCTGAACTGAACCACACATGGTTTTTACAAATACACCAGTTAAAAAGAAGAATCCAAATCAGCTCGTCGTGAGTGGATAAGTGATCCCCCGATAATACACACACTAAAAAATGCTCATTTTGTTCTCTTCTCTTGTCCTTGATGCACAAATTGCGCAAACAAGAAAGCACAACCCTAAAATCCGCCAAGTGGCTCTCCATGTCGTTAAGAATTGAGAACTCGATTTTCTTCCATTAATGGCCGCAGCCGCAGCCGCAGAGCTCTACAGTCTAATAGTCTTTTTTTTTTACACAGTTTACTTTTATGCTCTCCAATAGCGAGTAGAAGCGTAAGCTTTTTTTTAAAAAAAAAAAATGTTGCCCAAATCGCCGCCGTGGCGCCATTGCCCTCTACTCGTTCCCCTGTTGTTACTCGTTCTCCTTCCACTAACCTCTCCGTCGGATCTTCCGGCCGATCGTCCTCCGCCGGCGGCGATCGGCAGGTTTGGGAACCGGGTAGTCGCGGCCAGGCGCGGCGTGGTGGCGACGGACGACGGGCGGTGCTCGTGGATCGGGAGGAACGTTCTCCGGCGAGGGGGCAACGCGGTGGACGCGGCGGTGGCGGCGGCCTTCTGTCTGGGGGTCGTCAGCTCGGCGTCGAGCGGGATCGGCGGCGGCGCGTTCATGATCGTCCGAATGGCCTCCGGCGAAGCCCAGGCCTTCGACATGAGGGAGGTTGCTCCGATCAAAGCTTCCCAGGTATTTTTTAGGATTGAAGATCGTATTTTCAATGTATTTAGGTCGATTTGATCTGATCCGATCAATACGTTCCATTTTTCTTTTCTGTATCATAAAATTAATGGAACCAAGAATTGGATTGCATTATGTTC